GCTCCAGCCCTGCTCGAACACACCACATTGTAAAATATCAGCTGCTCAACAGGACCTTGATATGCTGACTCTGGTGTCTTTGAGCAGGGTTGGATCAAAAGCCTGCACACCCAGTAGCTCTCCAGATGGAGGGTTGAAGGACCACGTGTTTAATACAGTAGCCTATCAGTGCAGTATTTTACTTTGTGGGGGGTTAAGTCAATAAAATTCAATCAAATGTATTTATAAAGCTCATTTTACATCAGCAGATGTCACAAAGTGCTTATACAGAAACCCAGCCTAAAACTCCAAACATAAGCAATGCAGATGTAGAAGCACAGTGGCTAGGAAAAACTCCCTAGAAAGGCAGGAAACTAGGAAGAAACCGTGAGAGGAACCAGGCTCTGAGGGGTGGCCAGTCCTCTTCTGGCTGTGCCGGGTGGAGATTATAAGAGTACATGTGGTCCTCTGTAGCTCAATTGGTAGAGCATGGCGCTTGTAACGCCAGGGTAGTGGGTTCGATCCCCGGGACCACCCATACGTAAAAATTTATGCACACATGACTGTAAGTCGCTTTGGATAAAAGTGTCTGCTAAATGGCATATTATTATATTATTACATGGCCATTAAGGCCGGATCAAGATGCAAGTGCCTTGCTTAAGGCCACAACGGCAGGAGATGCTGTATAATACAAGGTATCAGAGACCAGCAGCCTTCCATTGTCAATACCAGTGATAATAATGAATGTTATTTTGCGAAGTGTTTCCTTCCATCATATAACACAATTTTCGGGGCTGGGGGACAAGTGACTTAAGCTTTCGGACAAGTAAAAAAAATCTGTCTAAAAATGTTAATTTCAAGCCCAGGAAAGAAATTAGAAAAAATCTTAAAGATATGTGGGTTTTTGGTAACGTAATTACAAGGCACAAGGCAATGTTTCTTAAACTTACAGAAGGTAAGTAATTTCTTCAAAACGAAATGTGTTGATATAAGTTGACAGGGGTCTTAACTTCAACATTGTGTTTTGATGTACAGTTGAAGTCGGATGTTTACATACACCTTAGCCAAATACAGTGGGGAAAAAAAGTATTTAGTCAGCCACCAATTGTGCAAGTTCTCCCACTTAAAAAGATGAGAGAGGCCTGTAATTTTCATCATAGGTACACGTCAACTATGACAGACAAAATGAGAATTTTTTTTCCAGAAAATCACATTGTAGGATTTTTAATGAATTTATTTGCAAATGATGGTGGAAAAAAAGTATTTGGTCAATAACAAAAGTTTCTCAATACTTTGTTATATACCCTTTGTTGGCAATGACACAGGTCAAACGTTTTCTGTAAGTCTTCACAAGGTTTTCACACACTGTTGCTGGTATTTTGGCCCATTCCTCCATGCAGATCTCCTCTAGAGCAGTGATGTTTTGGGGCTGTCGCTGGGCAACACGGACTTTCAACTCCCTCCAAAGATTTTCTATGGGGTTGAGATGTGGAGACTGGCTAGGCCACTCCAGGACCTTGAAATGCTTATTACGAAGCCACTCCTTCGTTGCCCGGGCGGTGTGTTTGGGATCATTGTCATGCTGAAAGACCCAGCCACGTTTCATCTTCAATGCCCTTGCTGATGGAAGGAGGTTTTCACTCAAAATCTCATGATACATGGCCCCATTCATTCTTTCCTTTAAACGGATCAGTCGTCCTGGTCCCTTTACAGAAAAACAGCCCCAAAGCATGATGTTTCCACCCCCATGCTTCACAGTAGGTATGGTGTTCTTTGGATGCAACTCAGCATTCTTTGTCCTCCAAACACGACGAGTTGAGTTTTTACCAAAAAGTTATATTTTGGTTTCATCTGACCATATGACATTCTCCCAATCCTCTTCTGGATCATCCAAATGCACTCTAGCAAACTTCAGACGGGCCTGGACATGTACTGGCTTAAGCAGGGGGACACATCTTGCACTGCATGATTTGAGTCCCTGGCGGCGTAGTGTGTTACTGATGGTAGGCTTTGTTACTTTGGTCCCAGCTCTCTGCAGGTCATTCACTAGGTCCCCCCGTGTGGTTCTGGGATTTTTGCTCACCGTTCTTGTGATCATTTTGACCCCACGGGGTGAGATCTTGCGTGGAGCCCCAGATCGAGGGAGATTATCAGTGGTCTTGTATGTCTTCCATTTCCTAATAATTGCTCCCACAGTTGATTTCTTCAAACCAAGCTGCTTACCTATTGCAGATTCAGTCTTCCCAGCCTGGTGCAGGTCTACAATTTTGTTTCTGGTGTCCTTTGACAGCTCTTTGGTCTTGGCCATAGTGGAGTTTGGAGTGTGACTGTTTGAGGTTGTGGACAGGTGTCTTTTATACTGATAACAAGTTCAAACAGGTGCCATTAATACAGGTAACGAGTGGAGGACAGAGGAGCCTCTTAAAGAAGAAGTTACAGGTCTGTGAGAGCCAGAAATCTTGCTTGTTTGTAGGTGACCAAATACTTATTTTCCACCATCATTTGCAAATAAAATCATTAAAAATCCTACAATGTGATTTTCTGGATTTTTTTCCCTCAATTTGTCTGTCATAGTTGACGTGTACCTATGATGAAAATTACAGGCCTCTCTCATCTTTTTAAGTGGGAGAACTTGCACAATTGGTGGCTGACTAAATACTTTTTTTCCCCACTGTACATTTAAACTCAGTTTTTCACAACTCCTGACATTTAATCCTAGTAAAAATGTCCTGTCTTAGGTCAGCTAGGATCACCACTTTTATTTTAAGAATGTGAAATGTCAGAATAATAGTAGAGAGAATGATTTATTTAAGCTTTTATTTCTTTCATCACATTCCCAGTGGGTCAGAAGTTTACATACACTCAATTAGTATTTGGTAGCATTGCCTTTAAATTGTTTCTTGGGTCAAATGTTTCGGGTATCCTTCCACAAGCTTCCCACAATAAGTTGGGTGAATTTTGGCCCATTCCTCCTGACAGAGCTGGTGTAACTGAGTCAGGTTTGTAGGCCTCCTTGCTCGCACACGCTTTTTCAGTTCTGCCCACAAATCTTCTATAGGATTGAGGTCAGGGCTTTGTGATGGCCACTCCAATACCTTGACTTTGTTGTCCTTAAGCCATTTTGCCACAACTTTGGAAGTATGCTTGGGGTCATTGTCCATTTGGAAGACCCATTTGCGACCAAGCTTTAACTTCCTGAATGATGTCTTGAGATGTTGCTTCAATATATCCACATCATTTTCCTTCCTCATTATGCCATCTATTTTGTGAAGTGCACCAGTCCCTCCTGCAGCAAATCACCCCCACAGCATGATGATGCCACCCCTGTGCTTCACGGTTGGGATGGTGTTCTTCAGCTTGCAAGCTACCCCCTTTTTCCTCCAAACATAACAATGGTCATTATGGCCAAACAGTTCTATTTTTGTTTCATCAGACCAGAGAACATTTCTCCAAAAAGTATGATATTTGTCCCCATGTGCAGTTGCAAACCATAGTCTGGCATTTCTATGGTGGTTTTGAAGCAGTGGCTTCTTCCTTGCTGAGCGGCCTTTTAGGTTATGTCGATATAGGACTCGTTTTACTGTGGATCTAGATACTTTTGTACCTGTTTCCTCCAGCATCTTCACAAGGTCCTTTGCTGTTGTTCTGGGATTGATTTGCACTTTTCGCACCAAAGTACGTTCATCTCTAGGACACAGAACGTGTCTCTTTCCTGAGCGGTATGACGGCTGCGTGGTCCCATAGTGTTTATACTTGCATACTATTGTTTGTACAGATGAACGTGTTACCTTCAGGCGTTTGGAAATTGCTCCCAACGATGAACCAGACTTGTGGAGATCTACAATTTTTTTTCTGAGGTCTTTGCTGATTTCTTTTGATTTTCCCATGATATCAAGCTAAGAGGCACTGAGTTTGAAGGTAGGCCTTGAAATACATCCACAGCTACACCTCAAATTATGTCAATTAGCCTATCAGAAGCTTCTAAAGCCATGACATAATTTTCTGGAATTTTTCAAGCTGTTTAAAGGCACAGTCAACTTAGTGTATGTAAACTTCTGACCCACTAGAATTGTGATCCAGTGAATTATAAGTGAAATAATCTGTCTGTAAACAATTGTTGGAACAATTACTTGTCATGCACAAAGTAGATGTCCTAACCGTCTTGCCAAAACTATAGTTTGATAACAAGAAATGTGTGGAGTGGTTGAAAAACGAGGTTTAATGACTCCAACCTAAGTGTATGTAAACTTCCGACTTCAACTGTATTTCTAATACCTTTTAAAGACATGCTCCGGTACTTTGGCAACTACTTAAACCTCCTGCTTTGGACTAGATGTGTCAATGTGTAGTTCATACATGCATAATCTATGAGCAGAATTACTGTCTTACTTCAATTAGCCACGAAATCCCTAGTTCGAAAGCAACTGTTTTTCTGGAAGCTGTGATGCGCTATTTTTCCTCAATTTTCCCCCAAGTGGGCCAGCCCCCTAGCAATTCGAGTTCAACAAATGAGCTTCAGCCCCTCGCCATGTGAGTGACAGCTAGCAAGATACACATGATGCACCCACAGCAGAGCGAGAGAGAGCAGTGACGTGTTGCATGTACCGTATCATCACATGTGACGTAGTATGCAATTTTCGGGGACCACTGTTGGCTCATGAGTGCTATTTTCAGAACTACTGGCGAAAAAGTATACAAAAGTACCGGAGAATCCCTTTAAGACTTTTTCTGGTAGATGTTTTCTAAGACCCCTTTTCCTTCTGTTTGACCAGAAATCAAAGTCAGTATTTATGCGTAATTTTTAAGATGGGAAATGGTTGAAAAATGTATCTATGCCTTCATTTCCCCAAAATATATTTTATTTGACACCCAATTTGATATGCTGCTATGATCTTCCTTCACATGTGGTGCTCATGGGTCCTTTTACATTGAAATTACCCTATCCCTTTGCTCACAACAAATGATGGTTGGATGTTGGCTGAAAAATGTCCTTTCTCCCATCTTTCCCTTTCTGTGTGTAGAAACATCTTGGTGGACAAACCCAATGACCAGTCCTCCAGGTGGTCGTCTGAGAGCAATTACCCTCCACAGGTAACGTCTGCTGTGTCCCGCCCACATAGATACCTGTCTCATACATACAACATCTGTGTTCTCAATTCACTGGTGGCTGCAAAATAGTAGCGCCTACCTGGTTGTTTAGCAACAAAACCGACGCGTGTTCAACTATGGGGCAAAACAGACTGAGTTGGCTTAGATTGTTGACAACATGTAAACTATATTTAGTCTCCAGTGTTTATTAAAAACATAAATACATTTGCACAATGAGCACTTGTTGTCTCTCAAGTACATAGTTACAGTTTTTGGTTAGCTAGCTAGCGAATTTGAGCCATTTTAGTATTGACGTGAAATCAGTCAAAACACCTCAAAACAAGACATGTTATCAAGAACAAGATGAAACTAGCTGAAACGAGTCACTTACGATTCCCCACATGGCAGTTTCTTGTCATTGTTGGTAGCTATCTGGCCATCCACAATCATAACTCACTGACCTCTGCACCATTGAAGCGTGCGTTGTCAGCTAACCCATGTACAGGATGCACGTCTTGACCCAATGACTTGCATTTGCACTTTTATGAATAGAAAGTGGCCCAGCGCAGTGTGTTTGACTGTCTTGTGGTTACAGCCAGAGGAAATTGAAAGTTTGTTTTTGCAGGAAGAGGAAACTAAGCATGTCAGTCTTAACAACCCAAGCTAGACATTCAAGTGTGGCAGAGGCAAAACTCCACTGCATCTGTTTACGTCAAATACTTTTCACTCTATAAAAATGTTGAACTCTCATCAACCCCTTTTATCTTTTCAAAGAGAGCGAGGTTGTGGAAAGGTGAAACCTTGAAAATAAGTATACTGAATAAATAATAAAGCCTTATCCCATAAATCACCCCATTGCAAAGCTTATTTTCTTTATTCAATAAATGAAGACGGCCCTTTTCATATAAATGTTTTATAACAGTTTCCGTGGCAACAAGAATCAACAAAGCATTGAGATACGGGTCGTTCATTATCAAGTGTGCCATGTATTTAGGTGACAGGTCAGGACTATTTTGAAAAAGCAAGATCGATATACCTAAGCCTAGGAATAATCCCTCTGTGTTAAATCTACCCGCAAAATGTCTGCCGTATTATTGATGAAAACTGTTGAAGATGAAACTGTATCAGAGGACCCATTAGTAAGCCTAGCAGATGCACTCTGGTGTTTTATTGTTCACTTACACAACCATTTAAACCTACAGGACATGTAGAAACATGGGTCTCCAGGGATTGTGGGTTGCCTGGTTTCCGGAAAGCAGATTTAATCGATGTTCAATCTGTGCTGCTCTGTCCCCTCAGTCTCTCCCAGAGGGCTCAGCCCAGTGACCTGTCCTGTCGGCAGCATATATGCCCAGGCTAGTTACCACTCCAATGACCTGTAAACATGTCCCATAGTTTGATTGTGCAGCAGCTCCTATACACAGTATTTCTCCTCTGCTGTCTGTGCCATCTGCAGTGTTGTGTAACATGTTAGAAGAGCAGTAGAATGAAAACTGTGGTGTCATGTTTTGCTTATATATGGATCAGAGACTGCTGATCAAATTCTCCCCTCTATTTTGCACTCTGTTTTCCCTCCAGTACTTATTGTTGAAAATGGAAAGGCCTGCGATCGTTCAGAGCATCACCTTCGGGAAGTATGAGAAGACTCACGTGTGCAACCTGAAGAAGTTCAAAGTGTTTGGTGGGATGAGTGAAGAGAACATGACAGAACTCCTGTCCAGGTGATGGGCAGAGGGACAGTGAAGTGTAATCCTTTACTGTATAAATAACCTACCTTACTCTATCTGTACCTTATTTCTTTTATTTTTCTCTTCTATTCCTCTGCAGTGGCCTGAAGAATGACTACAACAAGGAGACCTTCACCTTGAAGCACAAGATTGACGAACAGATGTTTCCTTGCAGATTTGTTAAAATAGGTGAGTTTGGAAATGGCTTGGGCCTACGTGTTGTACAGACTCTGTCCAGTTTGAAAATGATTGGAGTGAGGGAATGCTACAGGGCTAGAGATGGAAATAAGTCAAAATGGCGAAATAGTTAATGACTTAAATTATAGACCATTCTCTCTGTCTCTCTCGCAGTGCCTCTGATGTCTTGGGGGCCCAGTTTTAACTTCAGTATCTGGTACATTGAGCTGCATGGCATTGAGGAACCTGATGTAGTTCAGCCCTGTCTTAACTGGTACAGCAAGGTGAGCCTGCCTCTGAGACACACACTCACATACACAGTTGGGGTTAAGGGAGAGAATCAGTCTGAGTGGATTACTTAAGCAATAAGGCCCGCGAGGGTGTGGTATTTGCAGAGTGCCTGGATACAGCCCTTAGCCATGGTATATTGGCCATATACTACAAACTCCAGAGGTGCCTTATTGATATTATAAACTGGTTACCAACGTAATTAGAGCAGTAACAATAATATTTTGTCATACCTATGGTATATGGTCTGATATACCACGGCTGTCAGCCAATCAGCATTCAGGGCTCGAACCACCCAGTTTATAATATGAAGTATAACATTTGTGATGAAAAACATTGAACAAAGATGGAGGAGATATTACAGTGAGCGTGTCCCCTCCCATTCCCTTGGCCCTCCCCCTGTGCTCCTCTAGTACCGGGAACAGGAAGCGATCCGCCTGTGCCTGAAGCACTTTCGGCAGCATAACTACACAGAGGCCTTTGAGTCGCTGCAGAAGAAGACGCGCATCGCGTTGGAACACCAAATGCTGACACACCTTCACGACCGCCTGGTGCTCCGGGGAGACTTTGACGCCTGTGAGGAGCTCATCGACAAAGCCGTCAAAGGTCGTGACACCCACACCTCCTCAGACACAGACCGATGGAGGCTGGACCTACTGCCCTGTACACATCAACTGCAATACAACTACATGACCTCAATCATCATACTATCTACAGATGTCTACCGTCCCATCACTGAGGACTTAGCTCAGCTTATATTTAGCTCATAGATTTAGTGGATACTATAGACATTATTAATTATTTACACTATAGACCCATCTATCTGTACATTACCTTTTCATTTTATCAGATTTATTTGAAACCTCAGGGTGTGGCAATGTCATCCTGACAGCACGCTTTCTTTTGAGATTGAAAAGGTAACAAAATTATTCACTTCTAGTTCCTGGCTAAAATAATCTGGACCATCTTCCTGTGTTTGACCATCTCCTCTGTAGACGGTTTATTTAACCAGTACATCAGCCAGCAAGAGTACAAGCCAAGATGGAGTCAGATTATCCCCAAGAGTAACAAAGGTACAACCGCCCAAGAGCCAAGCCCAGACGACATGAACAGTGAGACAAACTACTCAAGTAGGAAATGTTTTCTTATTAACAAAATGCTATGGTACGCTGTACACTACCGCTCTATTGTGATTCATTCATGTTTTTCCCCGTCCCCCTTTCTCTTCTGCTCCTTCTCCATTCCCCCTCAACATTCCAACCCTCTCCTACATTTTATTCCCTCCTTTCCCTCAACCCCTTTCTCTCGCTCTCCCGCTCCATCTCTCTCTCCAGGTAATGAGGATGACAACAGACCAGGGATGAGGGGAGGTCATCAGATGGTCATCGACGTTCAGACAGGTGAGGCATGCTGGCTAACACCACACCTAGACAACACCCCCTATAATGTCGGCCATTATTTCCACTGGAATTCTCCTCTTCAAATTTGTTTTACAAACTGGCCTTAAATGCCCCCACCAGAGGGCAATGCCACCTCTATTTCAATGTAATTCCTGTCCGATAGTGGACATTTACGTTTATGTGCCACCTCCGAAGAATGACGCAGGCTACTAATACATATTCACGAATTGGGGGTGGGTACGTTGTGGGTGTTTTCCACGTGGAGTGGAAAGTAAACAACAAGTAGGGTACTGAAAGCTGTCAGTGTACCTAGCTAGCATGCTAACCTTATCTGGCTAACTAATGTTATCTGTTGCTACACTGTATTCAAAAGATTAGCCAGCTAGGCTATGGCTGGTTCTGGAGCTGGATTTGTCATAAGCATGTAGGGAAAATGTTGCCACAGACGGACAGGGGAAACCAGTGTCTTTGACTTTGCCATCTATTGTTATCTCCGAAGTTTTGGCATCTTTCATAAGATCCGCCATATAAGATGAAGCTCCGGTAATATGGATAGCCTAACTATCAGGGGCGCAACTTTCACTGGGGACGGGGGGACATGTCCCCCCCACATTCTGAAATTGCATTTTTGTCCCCTCCAGTGTTATCATTGGAATGTGATACAAAATGAGGCAACGGTGTGCTTCAGGACCATGCGGACGCCTCAGAGCGGTCAAGTAGGCTGTTTGGAGTGTGTATCCAACTCGATAAAAAAAGTAATATTCTATGTCCCCCCCACTTCTAAAACCAAAGTTGCATCCCTGCGCACTATTGAACGGTTTGGACTTGAGATGCATTTTTCTACATTGTAATGGACACGGTGCAACCTTTGGTAGGCTCATAACATGGTTCTCACAGCTAGGGGAAGTGAAAGCATAGGCTGCAATGACTGCACGCCGCAATTGATATGTAACAACGCCCTGAGCACATCGGACACAAAACAAAACACTGATACTTGATGTAACAACAGCACAAAATAGATAAACAAGTTTGTTGAAACTTATGATTTCTAGCTGCACCAATCAAAGCAATGGAGCGTGTTCAAAACCATTCATCTTCGGGGGAGCGGGGTTACAAAATGCAATCATATCACAGGCAATTTGACCATTTATAAAATGGTCTCATATATTTTTTTGAATACAGACTAGCTAAATAAATAAGTGCAACTTCACAAATTATCCAATGGATTATGATAATTTGCTAGTAAAAAAGTAGAGGTTTAGAAACATAAGTTTGCACCCCCTATTTTAATTTGCGACATGGCTCAGGCAGCCAGGTGTAGGCTGTGGCGAAAAACTGTAGCCAGAGACAGAAGAGGAAGCGAGACACCTCACTGGCTGTATTTATCCACCATCTTTGCTGTAGCCAAATATTCTCTATTAAATTGCTCAGCTTAGTCACGACTCTCAAACTTTGCAGGTGTTTCTTATTAGTAAACAATGCCATGCGGGTGGGTGGTACCATTTCAAGTAAAGCTCAGCCCTGAAACGAAACGTAGGCTAAAAATAATTTGCATGTCATTTCATAGGAAAAGACACGGCATTGACATGAATTTGCACAAAGTGGGCAGTTCAGGGTTGTCACTTGTGCAACATCGTGGGTAAGCTCTGGCCATAGTCTTTCAACTCAAAAGTGGATTTCTACTTCTGTGGGCGTTTAAGACATATGTTATAGCCTTTTAAAGCTGTTTTGCAGAAGACAGTGGTGTTATTTCAGTGCTCGGTAATGTTTTGGTGGCTTACTCGCCTGCAGGCGTTTGTAAAGACAAAGGCTTGTATTGTGTGCGTGTGTATACAGGCTGTGAGAAGCCTTGCATCTCACTGGTCTGTCTCTCAGGCCCCCAGACACTGAGTACTCTGTTTTTGGTCAATCCAGATGACCTAGAGTAACCCCACAACCTACAAAAACCTCCACACGGTCTGCACGTCATGCAGACATTACCCCTGTGTGCTGATCTGCCATGGTTACGGCCCATTGAACCTGTGCACCGCTGTGTTAATTATGCACTCATGCTACTCAGTTCAGGGGTTCTTCAGGACTCTAGAAGTCATGATTTCCCCCAAAATTCTCATGATTGCACTCAGTATGGCAACATGTAGCCTAAGTGTTTATCTTGAATAGCCTTTTTCTATCCCTTAACCCTTTACACTCGTAGGAGTTGGCCTCCATGGATAGGGCAACATTGAAATGTTTCTAACAGAAGAAATATGAGAAACAAATGCATAACCATGGTAGCCATTGAAAGGGAAGACTTTTGACATTATGGGGAAATAATCGGACCAAAGGTGAGGACACAACAGTCAAGTGTTAGATTAAGAGGTCTAACTGGTGTCTCGAAGTGGCCACACACCTCTCCAAAGTGTGCACAGATACTAAATCATTTCAATTCACTTTTATGACTCAAGGAAAGAGCCTTCAAATATTAGGTGCTTTTTTAGCTCTCCTAGCTGTACCGTTGAAGAATTGAAGCAAGCACACTTTTATTTGGAACACAGGCCTGCATCCCCACCATCACACAATGATTGTTTACGCAATCCAAAATTGGTCCATTATAAATTGCATTCTGGGTCAGGTGGGCATAATTTGAAAGCTTATTCTATTGCCAACATGACTAGCTAAGTTATAAAATACCATCTTAGTGTTAGGCTTTCAGAAGGCACTTCAGAGAAACTGATAGTCATTTTGGTGTGCATAGAATGGATTAATGAGTGCATTCAGGTGTGTGTTCTGCTGCAAATTTTCTTCACAATGTGACAAACAGGTTCCTTCTGTTAAAAAACAACAACAGGGTATGACACCATGTCATCCTTGTCACTGTACATCAAATAGGGATCATAAACGTTGATACTGTAAAGGACATGAATTTCATCATATGGAAAAGCGAAGCACACATTTGGACTTGTGGGTGTGTGGTTTGCTTGTATGACATCAAAGCAGTATTTAATATAATCAACGTCTCATCTTTCAAAACAAATCGAGTCCTCTTGATCCAGTATTCCTCTCTCTCAGACGACAAAACATGTACAAAAGTAGCCCAATTAGCGGGAGGACGGGGGCATCTTCTTGTTGTGCTTAGTGCTGCTGTTTAGAATGCCTGTCAGTTGAATCCCATACAGCACTGTAAAGTGGAGACCCTGACTTCTGACGTCTTGTATAGCATGTTACTGTATAGCCACTGCATTCCAATGGCGCTTATCAGTGACCAAGTCTGCCATTTTCAACCAGTATACAAGTTGTGTGTAAAGGGATAGTTTCAGGACCATTTTTACTTTACTTTAGACTTGTTGGTGTTTCAGTATAGGCACCGGAGTAGTTCAGTGATGTTGAATGCATCCCAGGTGTTGACCAGCATTGGCTTCTTGTTTCCTACAGAGACGGTGTATCTTTTTGGGGGCTGGGACGGCACACAGGACCTGGCTGACTTCTGGGCCTACAGTGTTCAGGAGAACCAGTGGGTCTGCATCTCCAGAGACACAGAGAAGGAGGTGAGGGCGCAAGATGTATGAAAGAGAGAAGGATGGAGGGAAAGTGGAAAAGAGGAGTTATTGTGACACAGAACAAGACATCAACTGTTAAATGGTCCATACTGATTGTTACAGCTGCTTAATGAGCAGAACACTAGATTATTTATGCATTTACTTTTATTTGTTTTATTTAACCTTTATTCATACAGGTTTTTCTCATTGAGATAAAATCTATTTTTCAAGAGAGACCTGGTCAAACAACAGCAGGGGGAACAAAGTTTCAGACAAAACAACTTACATACACTAACACAACATTGAACAAAACTATAGACACGCATACAGTACAACAACTACATATTACGTAAAGAAACTGCAGTTTTCTCTGGTGAAGGTAATGTCTATCTAACGGATGATTATAATGAAGATAATAGTTGATTGCTTCACTATAGGAAAATATTACAAAGGCACAATGTTTTTGAGCAGGTACTGGATATCAACAAAGTTCAGTAAATGGTAGAAACGCACATAGACTGCAGGGGGCCGGGTTGTCTTGTTTGACCATTTCTTGATAGGTTGTGTGATGGCTTACTATGTCCCCCCTGTCCTTTCCCAGAGTGGTCCCAGTGCGCGGTCCTGTCACAAGATGTGCATCGACAGCCAGCGGCGGCAGATCTACACACTCGGCCGCTACCTAGACTCCAGCGTCAGGAACAGCAAGTCTCTGAAGAGTGACTTCTACCGTTACGACGTTGACGCCAACACCTGGACACTGCTCAGCGAGGACACGTCAGCCGACGGCGGGCCCAAGCTCGTCTTTGACCACCAGGTAACCCCATTATCACGCCCTTCACACAGCTGTATCATACACGTCCAAACTGGACCAAACTGGCTAGGAGTGAATTGAAACACTTTGGGCCTAATTCAAAATTGGTTACAGAGTTTCTGTGGATTCAATAATTGGTACACTCAACCATCTGGAGGTGAGACCAGAGCACTGATGATGAAGGCTTAGCCAGCTACAGTCTTGACATATTTTCCTCGTGTCCCACTTTTTAAGCTAAAAATGGATCTGGAAATGCCAAGGATTTTTGCATCATTTTCCCACTGCTCTAAGCCCAACACTGACATCCAAATGTTGAATCTCATGACTCTCTCTTCCTACCCAACCTTTCTCTCCTCCTCTCTCCTCTCCCTTTCTCTCATTCTTACTCCCTCTTTCCTCCCTCTCCCTATAGATGTGTATGGACTCGGAGAAACACATGATCTATACGTTTGGCGGTCGGATCCTGATGTGTAACGGCAGTGTGGAGGACAGCAGGACGTCCGAGCCCCAGTTCAGTGGGCTGTATGCCTTCCACTGCCAGGCCGGAACCTGGAGCCTGCTCAGAGAAGACTCCTGCAACGCTGGGCCTGAGGACGTCCAGTCACGCATCGGACACTGCATGCTCTTCCACACTGTGAGTTATGGGAGTAGTACCATGACTGGTGTTGATGGTAGGGTAATGTTGCGTGGATGATACTGAACTGTGCTCATACATGGATACTCACATATCAACACACAATGTGGCAACTTTGCGGTGACATTCTTTATAGAATTCAGCACAAACACCAGAATGAGTTATTGACAGAAATAAATCAATACCCACACAATCCTGACTGAAGCATTCAGAAGAGCCAAAATGGCTTTCTGCTTTGTGTTTTTAGAGAAAGCCAATGACATAACGGAACAAATATGCACCGATTTTACTCTCAGGACTTTTCAGAAGCCAAGGAAAATTGAACTGATAGTTCTGACTATCTTGTTTCACAGAAGAATGTAAACCATTCAGAGCGTTGGCATGAATTAGATTTTGCTTCTCTCTCTCTCTCTCTCTCTCTCTCTCTCTCTCTCTCTCTCTCTCTCACCCCCACCCCACCCTTTCTCTAGAGGAATCGTTGTCTGTATGTGTTTGGAGGTCAGAGGTCAAAGACGTACCTGAATGACTTCTTCAGCTACGACGTGGACGGGGACCATGTGGAGATCATCTCAGACGGAACCAAGAAGGACTCCGGCATGGGTAAGACTGGCTACTTAGTCACTTAAGCCACCAGGGACATTAACTGTTAATGCCAAGGGTGGAGGATAGTACAGCCGACACACCTTCATTGTTTAGTGCCAACATTTTGTTCCAAACGGATCTGCTCAGGTCTCATATTGGCAGGTTATTACAAGGCTAAACTCATCTAGTTTTCATGTCAAAGTCCCCTCACCGCCTTCAGCTTGTTGCACCCTGGGTTCCACACATTCTGCAGGGCAACAGAGAATCGTGGCCGCAGTGCGTTTCTTTACAAAATTGGAATTCATAATTGCTTGCTGTAGTTAGAAAGTGAGCAGTTGATTTCATCAGCTTCTGAGAATAGCATTTTTGTCATGTGCAAATGATTCTTAGAAAATCCCACCCCCGTATTATTGTGGTATTTACTAAAACGTCACAGGAACGTTAATTAGATTGCTCTCTCACCACACACACACACACACTGTCTCAATCTCTCACAATATACTTTCTCTTTACTTTTTGTTCTCACTCTTTCACAGAACCACAATCTTTCATCCTCTACTTTTTCTAACACACACACAGGGTAGCAAAGCTACTGGTAATTTACCAAAGTTACTGTAATCTTCAGTCATTTTTGGTAATTAACAGAAAACATATGGTAACTATTCAATTATTATATCTGAGTCCATATTGTTCATGACTTTCTAGTGGATAGACCATATGGTTCAAGAGAAAATAGCCTAATTAATGAAAAAAAGCATCTAATTAACAATGGCATTATTTTCTATTAACTCTGCAACTCTTCCAACTGTTGGCTTTATTCACAACTGCCACCACTTTGACACCTAAACATTGACAACAAATACATGTTGAAATAGTAAAATAAAGCAGCTATAAACAAAATGTTATATATAACTCAGCAAAAAAAGAAACGTCCTCTCACTGAACTACGATTATTTTCAGCAAACTTAACATGTGTAAATATTTGTATGAACATAACAAGATTCAACAACTGAGAGATAAACTGAACAAGTTCCACAGACATGTGACTAACAGAAATTGAATAATGTGTCCCTGAACAAAGGGGGGGGGGGGGGGGGGGGTCAAAATCAAAAGTAACAGTCAGTATCTGGTGTGGGCTCCAGCTGCATTAAGTATTGCAGTGCATCTCCTCCTCATGGACTGCACCAGATTAGCCAGTTCTTGCTGTGAGATGTTACCCCACTCTTCCACCAAGGCACCTGCAAGTTCCCAGACATTTCATGGGGGGGAATGGCCCTAGCCCTCACCCTCCGATCTAACAGGTCTCAGACGTGCACAATGGGATTGAGATCCGGGCTCTTCGCTGGCCATGGCAGAACACTGACATTCCTGTCTTGCAGGAAATCACGCACAGAACGAGCAGAATGGCTGGTGGCATTGTCATGCTGGAGGGTCATATCAGGATGAGCCTGCAGGAAGGGTACCACATGAGGGAGGAGGAAGTCTTCCCTGTAACGCACAGCGTTGAGATTGCCTGCAATGACAACAAGCTCAGTCCGATGATGCTGTGACACACCGCCCCAGACCATGACGGACCCTCCACCTCCAAATCAATCCCGCTCCAGAGTACAGGCCTCAGTGTAACGCTCATTCCTTCGACGATAAACGCGAATCCGACCATCACCCCTGGTGAGACAAAGCCGCGACTCGTCAGAGAAGAGCACTTTTTCCCAGTCCTGTCTGGTCCAGCAACGGTGGGTTTGTGCCCATAGGCGACGTTGTTGCCGGTGATGTATGGTGAGGACCTGCCTTACAACAGGCCTACAAGCCCTCAGTCCAGCCTCTCTCAGCCTATTGCAGACAGTCTGAGCACTGATGGAGGGATTGTGTGTTCCTGGTGTAACTTGGGCTGTTGTTGTTGCCATCCTGTACCTGTCCCGCAGGTGTGATGTTCAGATGTACCGAACATCACACATGGTCTGCCACTGCTAGGACGATCAGCTGTCCGTCCTGTCTCCCTGTAGCGCTGTCTTAGGCGTCTCACAGTACGGACATTGCAATTTATTTCCCTGGCCACATCTGCAGTCCTCATGCCTCCTTGCAGCATGCCTAAGGCACGTTCACGCAGATGAGCAGGGACCCTGGGCATCTTTCTTTTGGTGTTTTTCAGAGTCAGTAGAAAGGCCTCTTTAGTGTCCTAAGTTTTCATAACTGTGACCTTAATTGCCTACCCTCTGTAAGCTGGTAGTGTCTTAACGACCGTTCCACAGGTGCATGTTCATTAATCGTTTATGGTTCATTGAACAAGCATGGGAAACAGTGTTTAAATCCTTCACAATGAAGATCTGTGAAGTTTCTCAATACGTTGTTATATACCCTTTGTTGGCAATGACACAGGTCAAACGTTTTCTGTAAGTCTTCACAAGGTTTTCACACACTGTTGCTGGTATTTTGGCCCATTCCTCCATGCAGATCTCCTCTAGAGCAGTGATGTTTTGGGGCTGTCGCTGGGCAACACGGACTTCCAAAGATTTTCTATGGGGTTGAGATCTGGAGACTGGCTAGGCCACTCCAGGACCTTGAAATGCTTCTTACGAAGCTACTCCTTCGTTGCCCGGGCAGTGTGTTTGGGATCATTGTCATGCTGAAAGACCCAGCCACGTTTCATCTTCAATGCCCTTGCTGATGGAAGGAGGTTTTCACTCAAAATCTCACGATACATGGCCCCATTCATTCTTTCCTTTACACGGATCAGTCGTCCTGGTCCCTTTGCAGAAAAACTGCCCCAAAGCATGATGTTTCCACCCCCATGCTTCACAGTAGGTATGGTGTTCTTTGGATGCAACTCAGCATTCTTTGTCCTCCAAACACGACGAGTTGAGTTTTTACCAAAAAGTTCTATTTTGGTTTCATCTGACCATATGACATTCTCCCAATCCTCTTCTGGATCATCCAAATGCACTCTAGCAAACTTCAGACGGGCCTGGACATGTACTGGCTTAAGCAGGGGGACACATCTGGCACTGCAGGATTTGAGTCCCTGGCGGCGTAGTGTGTTACTGATGGTAGGCTTTGTTACTTTGGTCCCAGCTCTCTGCAGGTCATTCACTAGGTCCCCCCGTGTGGTTCTGGGATTTTTGCTCACCGTTCTTGTGATCATTTTGACCCCACGGGGTGAGATCTTGCGTGGCGCCCCAGATCGAGGGAGATTATCAGTGGTCTTGTATGTCTTCCATTTCCTAGTAATTGCTCCCACAGTTGATTTCTTCAAACCAAGCTGCTTACCTATTGCAGATTCAGTCTTCCCAGCCTGGTGCAGGTCTACAATTTTGTTTCTGGTGTCCTTTGACAGCTCTTTGGTCTTGGCCATAGTGGAGTGTGGAGTGTGACTGTTTGAGGTTGTGGACAGGTGTCTTTTATACTGATAACAAGTTCAAACAGGTGCCATTAATACAGGTACCGAGTGGAGGACAGAGGAGCCTCTTAAAGAAGAAGTTACAGGTCTGTGAGAGCCAGAAATCTTGCTTGTTTGTAGGTGACCAAATACTTATTTTCCACCATAATTTGCAAATAAATTCATTAAAAATCCTACAATGTGATTTTCTGGATTTTTTCCCCTCAATTTGTCTGTCATAGTTGACGTGTACCTATGATGAAAATTACAGGCCTCTCATCTTTTTAAGTGGGAGAACTTGCACAATTGGTGGCTGACTAAATAGTTTTTTTCCCCACTGTATATATATAAGCAAGCACATTTCATGGTGTAACCCTCAAATTAAACACCAATGGTATTCACTAAGTTGATGGTTTATATTTAGGATAATGTTTTACAGCTTTGTCATTCAATTGTTTTTGTTTAAATAATCGTATTCAATTATTTCATATATTTTAAGTGTGATTTAGGCCACACAAAGGGCCAGAGATGATTACAGACACCTGTGATAATCTGAAGTACCCAAAAGGGCCACTAGATGTCTTGTGATGGATTACATAAAATCCTTGAAAGATACCAAAATTCTGGTAGTTTGCTGGTAAACTTCGAACATTTCCAGTAATATACCCTCCCTTTGCAACCCTACACAAACACACACACACAGCCTGAATGCCAACCTGAGCAAATCGCAACATTGCACTCCATTTAGTCACTATCAGCTTATGCTTTTGGTCAGCAGCAGTGTGTGTGCATGTGTGTGTAGCATAATCTGTGCCTTTTCCCATCAAGCTTGTGGCTCAGTGATACTACATGTACAGAACTCTCCCCATCATCACATATATCTTAATCTACCCTTACACTAAAGACTCTAGTAGAATCTGTGCTTTCAGATGCCATAGATGGCTGTAGGAGGAGATACCTTCTCATGTCTCCTCTATTAAAGTGACATGTGACAGACTTTTCAGTGCAGCTCATTAAAAGGCACAGGGCAGCAGAGAGAGAGAAAGAGATGCTTCTTGTCCTGATAAACAGATTGTCTGACTGAGATCTCTGGATGGACAGAGCAGAGCTGGACTGGCGTGATGATGGTAGAGTATTAATAGATCTCTGTCTGTGTGCCTCTCGCATCTGTGTAATCCTGCAAGAACGAGAGATGGGAATGGGAGGGAGGCAGAAGTGGGGAGATAGAGAGGGAGTGAAGAAGCCGAAAGGGAGAGCGAGTAAGACCGAGACGAGGGAGAAACCGAAAGATGCAGAATGAGCAAGCGAGAGCGAAAGAACAAGAGATGGAGAGCGAAAGATAGAGAGAGATGGAGAGAGAAAGAACAGAATGTATTTTGGCAGGAAGGAAGCAGCAAGCCCAAACAGTGTAATCATTCTCTGTTTATCGCCGACGCAGCTGCTCTGTGCTCTGCTCCGGTACCACAGAAACATCTCCCTGTTCATTTCCATTTCATAATGCTGCTCTAATGAGCTCTATATCTATGTCCCTAATGGCACCCTATTCCCTATATTGTGTACTACTTTTGACCAGGGCCCATAGGGTCTGGTCAAAAGTAGTGCACTAGGAATGTAATAGGGTGCCATTTGCGATGCACTTATATGGGCCCTGGTCAGAAATAGTGCACTTTATAGGGAATAGGTTGCCATTTGGGACGTAGACTATGTCTGAAGGGCAGAGCACAGTCTCTAGTGGCTCTGTCCTTCTGCTGTTTTCTTCTTGTTCTTCAAATAAACTTCTTTGTTTTGTTGATTCTCTAAAACAATCTGTACTCTCTACTCAAGTTACACAGGCTGGTTGACCTAGGGGCCTATCATTATAATTTTGTTTATGCAGAAGTTCATGCCTTGGTTCATGTCTTGGAACAGGACACCTGTCTATGGAGCTTGTTTGAGAAATTGCCCTAATTGTCCTTGAAAGCATATGGTGGGTTCCATAAAAATATATTAGTTCAAGTTGGTAGTACTAAGTGATTAAGCACAACACAGCATCTTTGTTTTGACTCTGTTCCTCAACTTACCATCATAGCCATGGTAACAACCCACATAGATTTGATACACTATGAAGTTTTTTAATTTTTAATTTTATTTCAGTTGAGAACAAGTTCTCATTTACAACTGCGACCTGGCCAAGATAAAGCAAAGCAGTGCGATTAAAAACAACAACACAGAGTTACATATGGGGTAAAAATACATAAAGTCAAAAAATACAACAGAAAATATATATACAGTGTGTGCAAATGTAGCAAGTTATGGAGGTAAGGCAATAAATAGGCTATAGTGCAAAATAATTACAATTAGTATTAACACTGGAATGCTAGATGTGCAAGAGATTATGTGCAAATAGAGATACTGGGGTGCAAAATAAATAACCATATAGGGATGAGGTAGTTGGGTGGGCTAATTTCAGATGGGCTGTGTACAGGTGCAGTGATCGGTAAGCTGCTCTGACAAGTCATTGCGAAGGCTTATACTTGCTTCTTCCATGCAACTACTGAAGCACATGTTGTGACTAATAAGCAGCCGATGACCACAAAGCGGAACTACTTGGCCTATATGTGTTCCATATTCCTCTATACGTATGAATAGTAGCATACTCTATACACTGACGTGTCATGACCACAAACACGTCATGTGCAATCAGGGGATTACTTTAGACAAGCAATGTATGCAAATCCGGGTAAAACAACATGCAAATGGATAGTTGCATACTGTTTACACTGTGACTGCAAACACATCCTGTTCTGTCAACTTTTGATATCACTAATGCAAATCCGTAGAAAAACAACCATACATTTGCATTGTGTTCTGTTTGTGTCCAGCAAGTCTCGTTGCTATGTACGTTGCTATGTGAGCAGCCTTTTGAATTCGTAGTCCATCCCATTTCTCTCAAGTCTTTTAATCTTTGCCTCTGATGGAAAAAATGTGCGATAGGGTTAAATAACCGTAGAGGCCAGACTTCTGTGACCAGGAAAAATGCAGAATCCCTGCTATTCTCTCTGTGTTATCTCAATGTAGCCTGCTATTCTCTCTGTTATCTCAATATAGCCTGCTATTCTCTCTGTTATCTCAATATAGCCTGCTATTCTCTCTGTTATCTCAATGTAGCCTGCTATTCTCTCTGTTATCTCAGTATAGCCTGCTATTCTCTCTGTTATCTCAAAGTAGCCTGCTATTCTCTCTGTTATCTCAATAGAGCCTGCTATTCTCTCTGTTATCTCAATGTAGCATGCTATTCTCTCTGTTATCTCAATGTAGCATGCTATTGTCTCTGTTATCTCAGTATAGCCTGCTATTCTCTCTGTTATCTCAATATAGCCTGCTATTCTCTCTGTTATCTCAATATAGCCTGCTATTCTCTCAGTTCTCTCAGTAGCACCCGTCTCTGTTTTAAACCTCTCTCTGATGTGTGTTTGTCCCTCAGTGCCGATGACGGGCTTCACCCAGAGGGCCACCATAGACCCAGAGCTGAATGAGATCCACGTCCTGTCTGGCCTCAGCAAGGACAAGGACAAACGAGAGGAGAACGTCCGTAACTCCTTCTGGATCTATGATATCGCACGCAACAACTGGTACGAGACACACACGGCCTTGTGTAACTAACCTTGTGGGGACACACAATTCAGTCCCATATCAAAATATTTTCCCTAACCCTAGCTCCTAACCCTAAAACTAACCCTAGCTCCTAACACTAATTCTAACCTTAACCCTAAACCCCCTAGAAATAGCATTTGACCTTGTGGGGACAAAATGTCCCCAGTTGGTTAAAAAAATAATGGTTTACTATTCTTGTGGAGACTTCTGGTCCCCACAAGTATAGTTCCACGCGCCCACACACCGTCAAACGCACACAGTAAGACACTGATACAATCATCAACCAATAGCATCATATTTCAAAGTCTTTCCTGACCTGAAAGTGAGTTTCATCATCTCTGCCCTTCAAAAGAGAACTAAATGTTCTTTCAGAGGGCGTGTGTGTGTGTCTGTCCGTGTGTGTGTGTCTGTCCGTGTGTGTGTTGTACCTCTGCTTCTTCATGGGGAAAGTCTTTGTTCTGGACTAGCTCATTTGGTCAGTTGAAACAGTGCTTGTGAGAGAACAGGCTGTCAGTGCTGCCTGCCGCTGGTTCTGGTACACTGCTTTCTCTAGCCGTTCTTTTGACTGAGTGTCCAGTAAATTAAGTCAATGTAACGCCTCAAGCTGTGTGTGTGTTTCTGCGTAGGAGGCTGTCTACAAGTGTGTTCCAATATTTGCTTCGGGGTGTGTGGGCGTGTTTCCTTTTTAAGGTATAGAAACACAATGGGTGTTGTTCCTCTTCAGGGTTAAGGCTATGTGCGTACTAACTGTTGTACTGTGTGTGTGTGTGTGTGTGCGCGCTGCAGGTCGTGTGTGTATAAGAATGACCAGGCGGTGAAGGAGAACCCCAGTAAGGCTCTGCAAGAGGAGGAGCCCTGTCCACGCTTCGCCCACCAGCTGGTCTATGACGAAATGCACAAGGTCACACACAGACACACTTTAATTGTTTTATTTGACCTTTATTTAACCAGGTTAGTCTTGTTGAGATAACATCTATTTTTCAAGAGAGACCTGAACCAAGACCGCAGCATCAACACATCAGTTTCAGACAGACACATGACATCAACCAGACTAAGATACATCATATTAACAAGCAGCATTCATGACGAACATGATACAACCAAAAACTAAGAAAACATCAATCATACCAACTAGTTGTGTTGGGTTTTTTGGGCCCCTTTTGGTTGGGGGGGGGAACATCAAGCTTATTTATTATAATCAACGTCTCATCTTTCAAAACAAATCGAGTCCTCTTGATCCAGTATTCCTCTCTCTCAGACGACAAAACGTACAAAAGTAGCCCAATTAGCGGGAGGGATGGGGGCATCTTTGTGGTCCTCTGTAGCTCAGCTGGTAGAGCACGGCGCTTGTAACGCCAAGGTAGTGGGTTTGATCCCCGGGACCACCCATACACACACAAAAAAAAATGTATGCCCGCATGACTGTAAGTCACTTTGGATAAAAGCGTCTGCTAAATGGCATATTATATATTATTATTATTATTATATCTTCTTGTTGTGCTTAGTGCTGCTGTTTAGAACGCCTGTCAGTTGAATCCCATACAGCACTGTAAAGTGGACACCCTGAGTTCTGACGTCTTGTATAGCATGTAACTGTATAGCCACTGCATTCCAATGGCGCTTATCAGTGACCAAATCTGCCATTTTCAACCAGTATACAAGTTGTGTGTAAAGCGATAGTTTAAGGACCATTTTTCTTGACTTTAGACTTGTTGGTGTTTCAGTATAGGCACCGGAGTAGTTCAGTGATGTTGAATGCATCCCAGGTGTTGACCAGCATTGGCTTCTTGTTTCCTACAGAGACGGTGTATCTTTTTGGGGGCTGGGACGGCACACAGGACCTGGCTGACTTCTGGGCCTACAGTGTTCAGGAGAACCAGTGGGTCTGCATCTCCAGAGACACAGAGAAGGAGGTGAGGGCGCAAGATGTATGAAAGAGAGAAGGATGGAGGGAAAGTGGAAAAGAGGAGTTATTGTGACACGGAACGTAAAAATGTATGCACACATGACTGTAAGTCACTTTGGATAAAAGCGTCTACTAAATGGCTTATTATTATTATTATTATTATTATTATTATTATTATTAGAACAAGACATCAACTGTTAAATGGTCCATACTGATTGTTACAGCTGCTTAATGAGCAGAACACTAGATTATTTATGTATTTACTTTTTATTTTATTTAACCTTTATTCATACAGGTTTTTCTCATTGAGATAAAATCTATTTTTCAAGAGAGACCTGGTCCAACAGCAGCAGGGGGAACAAAGTTTCAGACAAAACCACTTACATACACTAACACAACATTGAACAAAACTATAGACACGCATGCAGTACAACAATTACATATTACGTAAAGAAACACAAATGTCATAACTAAAAAAACAGCTGTCCTAAAGACAATTACACTCTTCTATGATATTTACATCGACCAAGTGTTTAAACTGTATAAATGATATAAATGATGATCATGATAATGACGGCAGTTTTCTTTGGTCAAGGTGAAGGTAATGTCTATCTAACGCAGGGGTGTCAAACTCATTTTAGCTCAGGGGCCACATGGAGGAAAATCTATTCCCAAGTGGGCCGGACCGGAAAAATCATGGTATATATAACTTAAAAACAACAACTTCAGATTGTTTTCTTTGTTTTAATACGATCAACATACAACATAAAGCTGGAGCCTGAGGACAGTGTGTCCAAAATAGTACAAGCACAACATCACTATTAATCATAAAACACGTCAAGTTTATTTGAAAATTCTAAAGAAAAAGAACACACAAACACACAATGCCTCAGTGATTAACAGAACTGTTTCACAGATCACATAACTATATCAGGGTGTCATTTCTCAGGCAGAAATGTAGATAAAAATAATGAAATCCTGTTCCCCAAACAAGTGCAAGAACCACAGAGTCAAGAATAGGTTAAATATACAAATAAAATAAAAACAATTAAAAACAATAGCACATCAACATAAAAACATATAAACATAAAGCTGGAGCCTGAGGACAGTGTCCAAAAGCACAACATCACTATTAATCATAAAACACCTCAAGTTATTTGAAAGTTCTGAGGACAAAGAACACACAAACACACAATGCCTCAGTGATTCACAGAAGTATATCACAGATCACAGAACTATATAAGGGTGTCATTTCTCAGGCAGAAATGTAGATAAAAAATAATGAAATCCTGTTCCCCAAACAAGTGCAAGATCCACAGAGTCAAGAATAGGTTAAATATACAAATAAAATAAAATCAATTAAAAACAATAGCACATCAACATAAAAACATATAAACATAAATCTGAAAGCGTTGCTCAAACTCCCGTAACAGTCCCGTTATTTTATCTTTGAACCGCTTCATGTCTGCCACATGTTGGGTCGCGCACACATTTTTCAGACAGGGGAAGTGAGCTGCATCACCACCGGCAAGTTGCGTCTCCCACAATGACAGCTTCAACTTGAAAGAACGTATGCTGTCATAATACTGCGTGACAACTTTGTTGCGCCCTTGCAGCTGTTTGTTCAAGTTATTCAGTTGCTCTGTAACATCCACAATAAATGCAAGGTCCTGCATCCATTCTGCGGAATGAAATTCTAACACTGGTTTGCCCTTTTCTTCCATGAACTGTTCAATTTCTTCTCGTAAATCAAAGAAACGCCTCATCACAGCACCTCGGCTTAACCATCTTACCTCAGTGTGGTATGGCAGGCCATAGATGTGGTCTTTCTCTCTGAGAAGGCTGTCAAACTGACGGTGATTCAGGCTTCTGGGTCGGATGAAATTAACAGTTTGGATGACCACCTTCATGACGTTATCCATCTTTAATGACTTGCAACACAAAGCCTCCTGGTGCAAAATACAGTGAAAAGTCAAAAAATCACGTCCTCCATTTGCAGATTGCACTTTCTCTCTGAACATTGTCACAACGCCTGCTTTTTTCCCGAGCATTGAGGGCGCACCATCTGTAGCCAGGCTGACAGCGCGGGACCAGTCCACTCCGACCCTGTCCAGCGCGCCGACGAGTGCGGTAAAAATATCAGCTGCTGTCGTTGTATGTCATCGGCACGAACTCCACGAACTCCTCGGTGACGGTCAATGTGTCATCAACTCCGCGGATGAAAATGGCCAGTTGTGCAACATCTGTAATGTCCGTGCTTTCATCAATTGCAACCAAAAACGCAATAAATGACTTTACTTTTTGCTTCAACTGGCTGTCCAAATCCACTGAAAGATCGGAAATCCTGTCTGCAACTGTGTTTCTTGTCAGGCTGATATTTGCAAAAGCCTGCCGCTTTTCAGGGAACACAATCTCCGCTGCCTTCATCATGCATGTTTTTACAAATTCACCCTCACTAAATGGTTTTGAAGCCACTGCGATTTCATTAGCAATGAGGTAGCTAGCTTTCACTGCAGCGTCACTGATGTCTCGGCTGTGAGTAAACACAGACTGCTGTTTCTTCAGACCCGCCAACAGTTCATTCACCTTCTCTCATCTCCGCTGTCCTTGAAAGTTGTCATATTTGTCGGCATGAAGACTCACATAGTGGCGATGAAGGTTATATTCTTTCAGCACTGCAACATGCTCTGAACACACCAAACATACAGCTTTCCCATTCAATTCCGTGAATAAATAGGATGACCATTTTTCTTGGAACACTCTGCACTCTGCGTCCACTTTTCTCTTTTTTGACAGAGACATATTGGGGCAATGAGGGTGCCAAAGCACATAATGTTAAAAGTAGAAGCCGTAATAAATATCGCGGGCAAAAACAAAGTAGCTCATTGGCTGCACGTGCTTGACCTACTTGCTCTGCCCCGGTATAAACAGTTTGCTTGCTTAACACAATTGCTATTGCGCCATCCAGTGGACGCAATTGGAACAGCAGTTTATTTTATTGAAAAATTGCAGCGCATTTTTATACTTTACCAAATTATAAAATTATTATTATTATTATAAAAAAAAAAATTTTTAATCATCTCGCGGGCCGGATTAAACCCGTTTGCAGGCCTGATCCGGCCCGCGGGCCGGACGTTTGACACCCCTGATCTAACGGATGAAAATGAAGATAATAGTTTATTGCTTCACTATAGGAAAATATTACAAAGGCACAATGTTTTTGAGCAGGTACTGGATATCAACAAAGTTCAGTAAATGGCAGAAACGCACATAGACTGCAGGGGGCCGAGTTGTCTCGTTTTACAATTTCTTGATAGGTTGTGCGATGGCTTACTATGTCCCCCCTGTCCTCTCCCAGAGTGGTCCCAGTGCGCGGTCCTGTCACAAGATGTGCATCGACAGCCAGCGGCGGCAGATCTACACGCTCGGCCGCTACCTAGACTCCAGCGTCAGGAACAGCAAGTCTCTGAAGAGTGACTTCTACCGTTACGACGTCGACGCCAACACCTGGACACTGCTCAGCGAGGACACGTCAGCCGACGGCGGGCCCAAGCTCGTCTTTGACCACCAGGTAACCCCATTATCACGCCCTTCACACAGCTGTATCACACACGTCCAAACTGGACCAAACTGGCTAGGAGTGAATTGAAACACTTTGGGCCTAATTCAAAATAGGTTACAGAGTTTCTGTGGATTAAATAATTGGTGCACTCAGCCATCTGGAGGTGAGACCAGAGCACTGATGATGAAGGCTTAGCCAGCTACAGTCTTGACATATTTTCCTCGTGTCCCACTTTTTAAGCTAAAAATGGATCTGTAAATGCCAAGGATTTCTGCATCATTTTTCCACTGCTCTAAGCCCAACACTGAAATCCAAATGTTGAATCTCATGACTCTCTCTTCCTACCCAACCTTTCTCTCCTCCTCTCTCCCTTTCTCTCATCCTTACGCCCTCTTTCCTCCCTCTCCCTATAGATGTGTATGGACTCGGAGAAGCACATGATCTATACGTTTGGCGGTCGGATCCTGATGTGTAACGGCAGTGTGGAGGACAGCAGGACGTCCGAGCCCCAGTTCAGTGGGCTGTATGCCTTCCACTGCCAGGCCGGAACCTGGAGCCTGCTCAGAGAAGACTCCTGCAACGCTGGGCCTGAGGACGTCCAGTCACGCATCGGACACTGCATGCTCTTCCACACTGTGAGTTATGGGAGTAGTACCATGACTGGTGTTGATGGTAGGGTAATGTTGCGTGGATGATACTGAACTGTGCTCATACATGGATACTCACACATATCAACACACAATGTGGCAACTTTGCGGTGACATTCTTTATAGAATTCAGCACAAACACCAGAATGAGTTATTTACAGAAACAAATCAATTACCACACAATCATGACTGAAGCATTCAGAAGAGCCAAAATGGCTTTCTGCTTTGTGTTTTTAGAGAAAGCCAATGACATAACAGAACAAATATGCACCGATTTTACTCTCAGGACTTTTAAGAAGCCAAGGATAATTGAACTGATAGTTCTGACTATCTTGTTTCACAGAAGAATGTAAACCATTCAGAGCGTTGGCATGAATTAGATTTTGCTCCTCTCTCTCTCTCTCTATCGGTCTCATCTCTATCCTCCCTCCCTCTCCCTCTCTCCTCTCTCTCTCTCTCTCTCTCTCTCTCTCTCTCTCTCTCTCTCTCTCTCTCTCTCTCACACCCCCACCCCACCCTTTCTCTAGAGGAATCGTTGTCTGTATGTGTTTGGAGGTCAGAGGTCAAAGACGTACCTGAATGACTTCTTCAGCTACGACGTGGACGGGGACCATGTGGAGATCATCTCAGACGGAACCAAGAAGGACTCCGGCATGGGTAAGAATGTCTACTTAGTCACTTAAGCCACCAGGGACAGTAACTGGTAATGCCAAGGGTGGAGGATAGTACAGCCGACACACCTTCATTGTTTAGTGCCAACATTTTGTTCCAAACGGATCTGCTCAGGTCTCATATTGGCAGGTCTTATGCCAAGGGTATTACAAGGCTAAACTCATCTAGGTTTTCATGTCAAAGTCCCCTCACCGCCTTCAGCATGTTGCACCCTGGGTTCCACCCATTCTGCAGGGCAACAGAGAATCGTGGCCGCAGTGCGTTTCTTTACAAAATTGGAATTCATAATTGCTTGCTGTAGTTAGAAAGTGAGCAGTTGATTTCATCAGCTTCTGAGAATAGCATTTTTGTCATGTGCAAATTGAATTCTTAGAAAATCCCACCCCCGTATTATTGTGGTATTTAGTAAAACATCACAGGAACGTTAATTAGATTGCTCTCTCACCACACACACACACACTGTCTCAATCTCTCACAATACACTTTCTCTTTACTTTTTGTTCTCACTCTCTCACAGAACCACACTCTTTCATCCTCTACTTTTTCTAACACACACACACACACGCACACAGGGTTGCAAAGCTACTGGTAATTTACCAAAGTTACTGTAATCTTCAGTCATTATGGTAATTAACAGAAAACATATATGGTAACTATTCAATTATTATACGCTGCTCAAAAAAATAAAGGGAACACTTAAACAACACAATGTAACTCCAAGTCAATCACACTTCTGTGAAATCAAACTGTCCACTTAGGAAGCAACACTGATTGACAATACATTTCACATGCTGTTGTGCAAATGGAATAGACAACAGGTGGAAATTATAGGCAATTAGCAAGACACCCCCAATAAAGAAGTGGTTCTGCAGGTGGTGACCACAGACCACTTCTCAGTTCCTATGCTTCCTGGCTGATGTTTTGGTCACTTTTGAATGCTGGCGGTGCTTTCACTCTAGTGGTAGCATGAGACGGAGTCTACAACCCACACAAGTGGCTCAGGTAGTGCAGCTCATCCAGGATGGCACATCAATGCGAGCTGTGGCAAGAAGGTTTGCTGTGTCTGTCAGCGTAGTGTCCAGAACATGGAGGCGCTACCAGGAGACAGGCCAGTACATCAGGAGACGTGAAGGAGGCCGTAGGAGGGCAACAACCCAGCAGCAGGACCGCTACCTCCGCCTTTGTGCAAGGAGGAGCACTGCCAGAGCCCTGCAAAATGACCTCCAGCAGGCCACAAATGTGCATGTGTCTGCTCAAACGGTCAGAAACAGACTCCATGAGGGTGGTATGAGGGCCCGACGTCCACAGGTGGGGGTTGTGCTTACAGCCCAACACCGTGCAGGACGTTTGGCATTTGCCAGAGAACACCAAGATTGGCAAATTCGCCACTGGCGCCCTGTGCTCTTCACAGATGAAAGCAGGTTCACACTGAGCACATGTAACATACGTGACAGTCTGGAGACGCCGTGGAGAACGTTCTGCTGCCTGCAACATCCTCCAGCATGACCGGTTTGGCGGTGGGTCAGTCATGGTGTGGGGTGGCATTTCTTTGGGGGGCCGCACAGCCCTCCATGTGCTCGCCAGAGGTAGCCTGACTGCCATTAGGTACCGAGATGAGATCCTCAGACCCCTTGTGAGACCATATGCTGGTGCGGTTGGCCCTGGGTTCCTCCTAATGCAAGACAATGCTAGACCTCATGTGGCTGGAGTGTGTCAGCAGTTCCTGCAAGAGGAAGGCATTGATGCTATGGACTGGCCTGCCCGTTCCCCAGACCTGAATCCAATTGAGCACATCTGGGACATCATGTCTCGCTCCATCCACCAACGCCACGTTGCACCACAGACTGTCCAGTAGTTGGCGGATGCTTTAGTCCAGGTCTGGGAGGAGATCCCTCAGGAGACCATCCACCACCTCATCAGGAGCATGCCCAGGCGTTGTAGGGAGGTCATACAGGCACGTGGAGGCCACACACACTACTGAGCCTCATTTTGACTTGTTTTTTAAGGACATTACATCAAAGTTGGATCAGCCTGTAGTGTGGTTTTCCACTTTAATTTTGAGGGTGACTCCAAATCCAGACCTCCATAGGTTGATAAATTTGATTTCCATTGATAATTTTTGTGTGATTTTCTTGTCAGCACATTCAACTATGTAAAGAAAAAAGTATTTAATAAGATTATTTCATTCATTCAGATCTAGGATGTGTTGTTTAAGTGTTCCCTTAATTTTTTTGAGCAGTGTATGTGTCCATATTGTTCATGACTTTCTAGTGGATAGACCATATGGTTCAAGAGAAAATAGCCAAATTAATGAAAAAAGCATCTAATTAACAATGGCATTATTTTCAATTAACTCTGCAACTCTTCCAACTGTTGGCTTTATTCACAACTGCCACCACTTTGACACCTAAACATTGACAACAAACACATGTTGAAATAGTAAAATAAAGCAGCTATAAACAAAATGTTATATATAACTCAGCAAAAAAAGTAACGTCCTCTCACTGTGAACTACGTTTATTTTCAGCAAACTTAACATGTGTAAATATTTGTATGAACATAACAAGATTCAACAACTGAGACATAAACTGAACAAGTTCCACAGACATGTGACTAACAGAAATTGAATAATGTGTCCCTGAACAAAGGGGGGGTCAAAATCAAAAGTAACAGTCAGTATCTGGTGTGGCCACCAGCTGCATTAAGTACTGCAGTGCATCTCCTCCTCATGGACTGCACCAGATTTGCCAGTTCTTGCTGTGAGATGTTACCCCACTCTTCCACCAAGGCACCTGCAAGTTCCCGGACATTTCATGGGGAGGAATGGCCCTAGCCCTCACCCTCCGATCCAACAGGTCCCAGACGTGCTCAGTGGGATTGAGATCCGGGCTCTTCGCTGGCCATGGCAGAACACTGACATTCCTGTCTTGCAGGAAATCACGCACAGAACGAGCAGTATGGCTGGTGGCATTGTCATGCTGGAGGGTCATATCAGGATGAGCCTGCAGGAAGGTTACCACATGAGGGAGGAGGAAGTCTTCCCTGTAACGCACAGCATTGAGATTGCCTGCAATGACAACAAGCTCAGTCCGATGATGCTGTGACACACCGCCCCAGACCATGACGGACCCTCCACCTCCAAATCGATCCCGCTCCAGAGTACAGGCCTCAGTATAACGCTCATTCCTTCGACGATAAACGCGAATCCGACCATCACCCCTGGTGAGACGAAGCTGCGACTCGTCAGAGAAGAGCACTTTTTGCCAGTCCTGTCTGGTCCAGCAACGGTGGGTTTGTGCCCATAGGCGACGTTGTTGCCGGTGATGTATGGTGAGGACCTGCCTTACAACAGGCCTACAAGCCCTCAGTCCAGCCTCTCTCAGCCTATTGCGGACAGTCTGAGCACTGATGGAGGGATTGTGCGTTCCTGGTGTAACTCGGGCAGTTGTTGTTGCCATCCTGTACCTGTCCCGCAGGTGTGATGTTCGGATGTACCGATTCTGTGCAGGTGTTGTTACACATGGTCTGCCACTGCGAGGACGATCAGCTGTCCGTCCTGTCTCCCTGTAGCGCTGTCTTAGGCGTCTCACAGTACGGACATTGCAATTTATTGCCCTGGCCACATCTGCAGTCCTCATGCCTCCTTGCAGCATGCCTAACGCACATTCACGCAGATGAGCAGTGACCCTGGGCATCTTTCTTTTGGTGTTTTTCAGAGTCAGTAGAAAGGCCTCTTTAGTGTCCTAAGTTTTCAGAACTGTGACCTTAATTGCCTACCGTCTGTAAGCTGTTAGTGTCTTAATGACCGTTCCACAGGTGCATGTTCATTAATTGTTTATGGTTCATTGAACAAGCATGGGAAACAGTGTTTAAACCCTTTACAATGAAGATCTGTGAAGTTATTTGGATTTTTACTAATTATCTTTGAAAGACAGGGTCCTGAAAAAGGGCTGTTTCTTTTTTTGCTGAGTGTGTGTATATAATACACGTTTTATACACGTAAAATATATGAAATAACTGAATACGATTATTTAAACAAAAACAATTGAATGACAAAGCTGTAAAACATTATCCTAAATATAAACCATCAACTTAGTGAATACCATTGGTGTTTATTTTGAGGGTTACACCATGAAATGTGCCTATATATGTATATATGTATATGTGTATATATATGTATATATATATATATATATATATATATATATGTATATATATGTATATATAATAGTCACGATCAGCTGATGCTTTTGGTCAGCAGCAGTGTGTGTGCATGTGTGTGTGTAGCCTAATCTGTGCCTTCTCCCATCAAGCTTGTGGCTCAGTGATACTACATTTACAGAACTCTCCCCATCATCACATATATCTTAATCTACCCTTGCACTAAAGACTCTAATATAATCTGTGCTTTCAGATGCCATAGATAGCTGTAGGAGGAGATACCTTTTCATGTCTCATCTATTAAAGTGACATGTGACAGACTTTTTAGTGCAGCTCATTAAAAGGCACAGGGCAGCAGAGAGAGAGAAAGAGATGCTTCTTGTCCTGATAAACAGATTGTCTGACTGAGATCGCTGGATGGACAGAGCAGAGCTGGACTGGCGTGATGATGGCAGAGTATTAATAGACCTCTGTCTGTGTGCCTCTCGCATCTGTGTAATCCTGAAAGAACGAGAGATGGGAATGGAAGGGAGGCAGAAGTAGGGAGATGGAGAGAGAGCGAGGGGGTGAAGAAGCCGAAAGGGAGAGCGAGTAAGACCGAGACGAGGGAGAAACCGAAAGATGCAGAATGAGCAAGCGAGAGCGAAAGAACAAGAGAGATTAAGAGAGAAAGAACAGAGAGGTGGAGAGCGAAAGAACGAGAGAGAAAGAACATAATGTATTTTGGCAGGAAGGAAGCAGCAAGCCCAAACATTGTAATCATTCTCTGTTTATCGCCGACACAGCAGCTCTGTGCTCTGCTCCGGTACCACAGAAACATCTCCCTGTTCATTTCCATTTCATAACGCTGCTCTATATCTATGTCCCTAATGACACCCTATTCCCTAAATTGTGTACTACTTTTGACCTGGGCCCATAGGGTCTGGTCAAAAGTAGTGCACTAGGAATGTAATAGTGTGCCATTTGGGATGCACATATATGGGCCGTGGTCAAATATAGTGCACTATATAGGGAATAGGTTGCCATTTGGGACGTAGGCTATGTCTGAAGGGCAGAGCACAGTCTCTAGTGGCTCTGTCCTGCCGTTTTCTTGTTCTTCAAATAAACGTCTTTGTTTTGTTAATTCTCTAACACAATCTGTACTCTCTACTCAAGTTACACAGGCTGGTTGACCTAGGGGCCTATCGTTATTGTTTTGTTTATCCAGAAGTTCATGTCTTGGAACAGGACACCGACGCATAATTCATGTTGTGTATTGTTTGGCAAACTGTCTATGGAGCTTGTTTGAGAAATGGCCCTAATTTTCCTTGAAAGCATATGGTGGGTTCCATACAAATGTATTAGTTCAAGTTGGTAGTACTAAGTGATTAAGCACAACACAGCATCTTTGTTTTGTCGCTGTTCCTCAACTTACCATCATAGCCATGGTAACAACCCACATAGATTTGATACACTATGAAGTCATTGCGAGGGCTTATACTTGCTTCTTACATGCAACTACTGAAGCACATGTTGTGACTAATAAGCAGCCGATGACCACAAAGCGGAACTACTTGGCCTATATGTGTTCCATATTCCTCTATACGTATGAATAGTAGCATACTCTATACACTGTGACGTGTCATGACCACAAACATGTCATGTGCAATCAGGGGATTACTTTAGACAAGCAATGTACGCAAATCCGGGTAAAACAACATGCATATGGATAGTTGCAGACTGTTTACACTGTGACTGCAAACACATACACCTGTTCTGTCAGCTTTTGATATCACAAATGCAAATCCGTAGAAAAACAACCATACATTTGCATTGTGTTCTGTTTGTCTCCAGCGAGTCTCGTTGCTATGTACGTTGCTATGTGAGCAGCCTTTTGCATTCGTAGTCTATCCCATTTCTCTCAAGTCTTTTAATCTTTGCCTCTGATGGAAAAAAATTACGGTAGCGTTAAATAACCCTAGAGGCCAGAATTCTGTGACCAGGAGAAATGCTGAATCCCTGCTATTCTCTCTGTGTTATCTCAATGTAGCCTGCTATTCTCTCTGTTATCTCAATATAGCCTGCTATTCTCTCTGTTATTTCAATATAGCCTGCTATTCTCTCTGTTATCTCAATGTAGCCTGCTATTCTCTCTGTTATCTCAATGTAGCCTGCTATTCTCTCTGTTATCTCAATGTAGCCTGCTATTCTCTCTGTTATCTCAATGTAGCATGCTATTCTCTCTCAGTTCTCTCAGTAGCACCCGTCTCTGTTTTAAACCTCTCTCTGATGTGTGTTTGTCCCTCAGTGCCGATGACGGGCTTCACCCAGAGGGCCACCATAGACCCAGAGCTGAATGAGATCCACGTCCTGTCTGGCCTCAGCAAGGACAAGGACAAACGAGAGGAGAACGTCCGTAACTCCTTTTGGATCTACGATATCGCACGCAACAACTGGTACGAAACACACACGGTCTTGTATAACTAACCTTGTGGGGACACACAATTCAGTCCCATTCAAAATATTTTCCCTAGCCCTAAAACTAACCCTAGCTCCTAACCCTAATTATAACCTTAACCCTAAACCCCCTAGAAATAGCATTTGACCTTGTGGGGACAAAATGTCCCCAGTTGGTAAAATAAATAATGGTTTACTATTCTTGTGGAGACTTCTGGTCCCCACAAATATAGTTGAACACACCCACACACCGTAAGACACTGATACAATCATCAACCAGTAGCATCATATTTCAAAGTCTTTCCTGACCTCCTGAAAGTGAGTTTCATAATCTCTGCCCTTCAAAAGAGAACTAAATGTTCTTTCAGAGCGTGTGTGTGTCTGTCCGTGTGTGTGTTGTACCTCTGCATCTTCATAGAGAAAGTCTTTGTTCTGGACTAGCTCATTTGGTCAGTTGAAACAGTGCTTGTGAGAGAACAAGCTGTCAGTGCTGCCTGCCGCTGGTTCCGGTACACTGCTTTCTCTAGCCGTTCTTTTGACTGAGTGTCCAGTAAATTAAGTCAATGTGTGTGTGTTTCTGCGTAGGAGGCTGTCTACAAGTGTGTTCCAATATTTGCTTCGGGGTGTGTGGGCGTGTTTCCTTTTTAAGGTATAGAAACACAATGGGTGTTGTTCCTCTTCAGGGTTAAGGCTATGTGCGTACTAACTGTTGTACTGTGTGTGTGTGTGTGTGTGTGTGTGTGTGTGTGTGTGTGTGCGCGCGCTGCAGGTCGTGTGTGTATAAGAATGACCAGGCGGTGAAGGAGAACCCCAGTAAGGCTCTGCAAGAGGAGGAGCCCTGTCCACGCTTCGCCCACCAGCTGGTCTATGACGAAATGCACAAGGTCACACACAGACACACTTTAATTGTTTTAATAACATCTATTTTTCAAGAGAGACCTGAACCAAGACCGCAGCATCAACACATCAGTTTCAGACAGACACATGACATCAACCAGACTAAGATACATCAATATAACAAGCAGCATGTCAGTGACGAACATGGATACACACACACTTCTACAAAATGCTATAAGCATAAGGGCACAAAAGTCTATTAAATACTGTTTCAGGATATCATTATGATCTGAGATCTTCATAGGCACCAGTTACAGTTTTGAGGGTATGGATGGAGGTGCTAATATATCCATTGTCATTTTGCCCCTCGGTGTTCAGGTGCACTACCTGTTTGGAGGTAACCCAGGGAAGTCGTGCTCTCCTAAGATGCGTCTGGATGACTTCTGGTCCCTCAAGCTGTGTCGCCCCTCTAAGGAGTACCTGCTCCGACACTGCAGATACCTAATCAGGAAGTACAGGTACACAACCAGAGAATGGACTATACACCTGTAAATGAACCGTAACCTCTCTGTACCATATAGCAAAACGGTGGAAACAAATGTATAGGAGATATGACTTCACAATTTGAGTTTCGGGTTCTGCTTTGACACTGATGCCACCTAGTGGCCATGTCTTGCCATTGTAGGGAAGGGTTTTTTCCTCGCTCATTTTGCAGTCTTTGCAGGGATCTTTTCACATTGTGTGGTACAGAGTTTCTATAGGTTAGACTAAACGATTTCCTTAAGCTCTCTATAGGTATTCCTGAAGATCTGTCGTGTAGCTTCGTGTGTTGTTTCTCATGGTGTGTGTGTTTAGGTTTGAGGAGAAGGCCCAGTCAGAGCCTCTGAATGCTCTGAAGTACCTGCAGAACGACCTCTCTCTGACCGTGGACCACACCAACCCTGACGAGACCAAAGAGGTGAGGGGGGGACTGATGGAGAGACGGGGGAGAGGGGTACTTGCACATTGTGCAGTGTTATTTATTAAACTGTGCATTTAGATCAAATAAACGTATGAAATGGTTTGGTAATGTAACAGTCAAAGCCTGTGTTTTGATGTTCATGTTTTGATATTATTACCATAGTAACTCAGGGGTGAAATAGCAGTGTATTTGTTGGCAGTGTTGCGTTAGTGTTCAGTGACAGATGTTGTGTTGCGATGTGACTGTTCAGTTCCAGCTCCTGCCCTCGGCTCTCTTCAAGTCCAGCTCTGACTTCATCCCTCTGGGTAAGAGCCTGCTGCGTTGTCCCCATACTTCACTGGACACACAGTCGGAATGATTTATTCTTGCCCGCTTTTTCCCCCTCCAGCCATTCTTTCTGACATACTATAATTTTGGTCCTCCCACATGGCCTTTTGAGCACGGATGTAACCTTTATGAGCTCATATGACTTCCTGTGGAGATTGAGCAATTGAAGTATTTTCTCCCTTCACGTTCTCTCTCTTGTCCCTCCTCTTTCCCTCTCTCTTTATTACTTTCCATCTCTCTTCCCCTGTCCCTCTTCTTTCTTCCCTTACCTGGCTTTCACTCTCTTCCTCCCTCGCTCATCTCTCCCCCTCTCCCTCCTTCTCACAGGTTTCTCAGACGTGGACCAGACGTATGCCCAGCGCACGCAGCTCTTCGACACGCTCGTCAACTTCTTCCCGGACAGCATGACCCCGCCCAAGGGTAACCTCGTTGACCTCATCACACTCTAGTCCTGCCCCACAACCCTGCGCACCACCACCATACGCCAATAAGACTCACTGATTGGCTGGCCCAAAGCCAAACTTAATATTTTTCTACACTTGACCCTTCCAAGTTCAGGGGTGCTCTGCTCGCGGACTGCACTTGTTGACCCCCTCTTTAGGATGTTGGTTCTTCAACAGTGGTACTGAACTGAACTAAAAGGGCAAATGAGGGTCAGACCACTTGCGATTAAAGGGGTTGATACTAAATATCACTGTGTCAAAAAGGGAAAAAAAACACAAGTGTTTCCTAAGCCTGATAGTCTTTATTGAATAAACTGATTTAACAGGGCAAAAATAACCCAGAACTCTGCCAAACATATCTTCTGTGTTAATTCATTTGATTTGTGAGATTTGTGACTTTTACATGCTGCGTTTGAGTTTGCTTGGCATTAGTAGCCTGTTAGATCAAGGAGGAGTCTATATTGCTCTTTTTTTCCACTCTGTCTTGCATTTCTCTCTCTCTCTCTGTCACACACATGCAAACACACACATACCTGCTTGCAAAAGTAGTTGTGTTACTTAATGACACCCTGTCAGAGCTATGTACGCTGAATATACCTTCAACCAAGTTCATGCTTTTGTTTGCTTGCTCTGCCCGTATTATTGGCAGCCATGTTATATACCCCATATTTATAATAATGACGGCCATGCTGTTAATTGTGTTATATAGAAACAATAGAATAATGATCCTAAGAGACAATAAATATATATATATATATATATATATATATATGTCAAATGAACTTAAATCAATTAAATCCTCTATCAATGTAAAAATCAATCATTTATGGGTTGGGGGGAAACATTGTTACGTTGTCAAAAGCCTGTGATTCTGGTAAAGGCTACTGTAGCTTTAGTGTGACCATGGATCTGTCACTGAGGCATGGTGGGAAATGTAGTCTCCAAGTATGAATGTTATTTTTTAAACTCAAACTCCCCGTCTTGTAAGATAACTGCAAAATGATGGTCCGGCTGTATCAGAGGGATGTATTTTTTTTATGTACAAACACACATCTATACGCACATGATCTCATTGGCAGGGATGTATCTTCCTTTGACGATGTGAGGAGTTATTTTATGGGTAAAGGAAGAATGAATGATGGCTTTCATTGAGGGAGAGCCCAGTCTCCCCCTTCAGCTATGACCTGATTACTGTGTTCTCTCTGTTTCTTATGGAAACAGTGATGACTAGACATTCTTCATTTCCGACCTAAAGAAATACAGAACACTACATTTCATTCTTACTCAGAATAAGGCAGTAGGAGCATTCACAAGTGATCTCTAACACCAAGTTATCAAATGGTATCTGTCTTGTGGCTCCAGCCAAAGTTTTGATGTACAGGAAATGTTTTTGATTGTTTCATAATCATTATGCTGGAACTGAGGATGCCCTTCGATATAGCTGACATTTGTGTGTGTGTCCGTCAAAATGTGTGTTTGTCTCAGATAGCCAGGGTATTTTGTCTAGTCCACTTGTGTAACATAATACAAACATATGCCTCATATTGGTCTTCCATTAATCTCAGTAGGAGAGATGATTGAAGTGATCCTCCTTCCCCTCCTCAAGAACAGTAGCAGCCTAGTCTTCCATTGCATTGTATGTATTGTCTATATATTTAAACATTTTTCTGAGACAGCTGTACAGTATGCAGAGTACACTCTAGGCAAAGGCCTATGGAGTCCTGTGAAATATCCATCCCCTTTGATTTGAGATCAATCAACTCCACTATCAGATAACCAGAGATGGAGGGTAGGACTATTCATATTCAAGGCGGCAAACACTTAGTGCTTAAATCCTGTCAAGGGTGGTAGAGCCAAACTTTAGAGATACTTTGCCTTGTTAGATCCTATTTTGAAGTACTCAATGATTTCTCTGTTCGTTTGCACTCATGCCCTCAGTAATCAGTATTAGCTTAATTTGAATCACAATCATGTGTGTGCACGCTACACACACCTGTATGCTTACAGTATGTGAGCTTGAAACGTGTGTGTGTGTGCTTGTTTTTCTGTTTGCTAATGTATTTCTTCTGCCATCATATTAAGCTTAGTAAATATTAGCTCTCTGATGAACTGAGATCTAGAGCGAGAGAGGACTGTCATACTTACCATCATAGCTTTGCAATAAAACCTGTTATTTAGGATGGAATCCATTATTTATGGTCATTATCACAGAATAGAAGGCTTTTGCAATGATTACATTAGTTTCTATTTTGTGTCAACCCCAAAAAAATAAGCTTAAGAAAACATGAAATAAAGAAGAATGAAAGCACCTTTGCAAAAGAAAAATATATATATATAAAACAATGCCAAATACTTTTTCTTTTGCTTATTTTTGAGAGGGGAAGGAAATCTTGACATAATTTTCAGATAAATGGAATGTCATTTTCTTCATCTGCTGCCTCTTTCCATTCTGCCCCTCTTCTCCACAACTGGAACTCAGGAGTATGTGGGGTACTCTTGAGTGCGTGAATGAGCACTACTCTGTGGATAACGTGAATGTGTAGAGAGCCTATTGTAGAATTGCGTTGTATGTAATGTACATAACGAATAAAGATTTGTATTTTGTTCAGGTTTTCATAAATAAATGACTGGTTCTTTGATTTGTTTGCGACCGAGAACACATGACAGGTCGTTTTGACAGTTGGGATGCAAAGTTACAAAAGATACAACACCTGTTTGAAATAAGTGTGTTTTATTGGCAAATCTTTATTGGTATAAGAAAACATGGCTGCACTGGTCATGATAGACGAGGCGCCGCTTCCAGTGTGTCAGACCCCCTGTTGTTTGGCTTCATCAGCAAACAAACCATAAATACATACAATAACTGCTAAATACTTTGGTGTAAAAGTTAAAGAAATCTAATACGAGAGAGCGACTGTACACAATAACTAATGACAAACAATACATAGGAATGTGTTGAATAAGTGGTTGATTGTTTGGTGTTGGTTGATTTTACAGCTTAAATATAATTGGGAATTATTGTGTCCATGTGAATTATCCATGAATTTGAATACGTTTTGCTAGATAATCACATGGATATTTAAATACATTTCTATTCAGTTGATTTGACAAAACAAAGTAAAAAAAACGAAAATGGGCTGAGGCCTATGCTGTGCAGGCATGTAACAAGTCATCCCTTGTGTTTAGTTACAAAATAACCGCAGAACCTTCGTCAGCAGACAATAAAATAATTATCTTTAGAGGCCAGCTTCCCTGATACAGAGTAAGCCCAGTCCAAGACTAAAAAGCATAATTGAAAGGGTTCTTATGTCCAAGGCTAGGCTTAATCTACAGTACATTCGGAAAGTATTCAGACCCTTTGACTTTTTCCACATTTTGTTATGTTACAGCCTTATTCTAAAATTGATTAAATAAAAACAATTCCTCATCAATCTACACACAATTCCCCATAATGACAAAGCGAAAACAGGTTTTTAGACATTTTTGCTAATTTATTAAAAATAAAAAAACTATTTACATAAGTATTCAGACCCTTTGCTATGAGACTCAAAATTGAGCTCAGGTGCATCCTGTTTCCATTGATCATCCTTGAGATGTTTCTACAACTTGACTGGAGTCCACTTGTGGTAAATTCAATTGATTAGACATGATTTTGTAAGGTCCCACAGTTGACAGTGCATGTCAGAGCAAAAACCAAGCCATGAGGTCGAAGGAATTGTCCGTAGAGCTCCGAGACAGGATTGTGTCGAGGCACAGATCTGAGGAAGGGTACCAAAACATTTCTACAGCATTGAAGGTCCCCAAGAACACAGTGGCCTCCATCATTCTTAAATGGAAGATGTTTGGAACCACCAAGACTCTTCCTAGAGCTGGCCGCTCGTCCAAACTGAGCAATCAGGGGAGAAGGGCCTTGGTCAGGGAGGTGACCAAGAACCCGATGGTCACTGACGGAGCTCCAGAGTTCCTCTGTGGAGATGGGAGAACCTTCCAGAAGGACAACCATCTCTGCAGCACTCCACCAATCAGGCCAGACAGAAGCCACTCCTCGGTAAAAGGCACATGATAACCCGCTTTCAGTTTGCCAAAAGGCACCTAAAGGTCTATCAGACCATGAGAAACAAGATTCTCTGGTCTGAAGAAACCAAGATTGAACTCTTTGGCCTGAATGCCAAGCGTCACATCTGGAGGAAACCTGGCACCATCCCTACGGTGAAGCATGGTGGTGGCAGCATCATTCTGTGGGGATGTTTTCCAGTGGCAGGGACTGGGAGACTAGTAAGGATCGAAGGAAAGATGAACAGAGCAAAGTACAGAGAGATCCTTGATGAAAACCTGCTCCAGAGCGCTCAGGACCTCAGACTGGGGCGAAGGTTCACCTTCCAACAGAACAACGATCCTAAGCACACAGCCAAGACAATACAGGAGTGGCTTCAAGACAAGTCTGAATGTCCTTGAGTGGCCCAGCCAGAGCCTGGACTTGAACCCGATCGAACATCTCTGGAGAGACCTGAAAATAGTTGTGCAGTGACGTTCCCCATCCAACCTGACAGAGCTTGAGAGGATCTGCAGAGAAGAATGGAGAAACTCCCCAATACTGTTTGCCAAGCTTGTAGCGTCATACCCAAGAAGACCTCGAGGCTGTAATCGCTGCCAAAGGTGCTTCAACAGAGTACTGAGTAAAGGGTCTGAATACTTATGTAAATGTAATGTATTTATTTATTTAAATGTTTTGAATAAGGCTTTAATGTAACAAATGTGGAAAAAGTCAAGGGGTCTGAATACTTTCCGAATGCACTGTATGTCCAGAAAATCTTTAGAACTTTCAATCGACTATTTACACAGTGTTGATTTTCCCTTCATATCTGTAGAAGCTCTCGTCTCAGCAGTGTCTCCATGGACACCATTGTTTCATTAGTGTGGTTCACGTTGCTCAGTTAAACCAGTCGTCAGAGCTGAGATTCACTAGTAGTTGAATTCATTCACCAGGATGATTATTACACTTAATCCTGAGGTAATTTTCTCTAAATCTATACTATTGAGATTTAACCATAAAGGCATGTAGTGTTAGTTTATAAAGTTTCAGCTTCCTCCATTTTCTCTGAAAATATAAGAAAATACTATGTACAGGTGCTCAAGTGTACAATTCAATGCACTTTTGGATGATTACATTGATTACAGCATAAAGGACATGCAGATTTTAGTTAGACCACTTCATGAACTCCACCCTGAAATCTTGGTGGTTTGAGTGTTTGTTTTTCCCAATTAAATCAATAACTATGTAGCAGTACATAAAGTATCTCAAACAAAAAAAACACTCAAAAATGGCTCTTAAAATTGGATTGTGTATGTTAGAGAGTTACATTTCCCAAATATTTAATATGTCCTAAAACTAGGCACAATGGTGATTGGTGCAGTATCCACAAAATGGCCTGTTTACTTTTCCATGGCCACAGCGATGGGACTCTGACACCCGTTTAGGCCGGGTGGGTTTCCATAACCTGTTTTGTCATCCTCTGGGTGTTTTTTCCCCCAGATTTGTCAGGTGCCGTCTGTGTGTCATTGCCTTGGGGCTGGTTCAATGGGGGAACATTAAAAGTGTTGCAGATAGAAATGCATTGCATAGAACTGTCTCAATTCTGCAATTCTCAAATCCCATTATTTAAAGTTGTATACATTCTATATACAATACATTTCTACCTGCAAAGTTTGGAGCTAGAACTATCAACTAAACAGGGCCCTTGTAACGGTGCAGGGAAGGGAGAGTCAGTTGGTCGAGGGAATATAGTAGCACCCCTGTCTGTTCCAGCCCCCTCTACAGGTGAGTGTCCTCCTCGTCTGGCATGTCCATTTTGAGCAGGTTGTCGATGGGGACAATCCAGCTGTCGTTGAACTCTCCATTCAGGGCCACCTTCTTCTCCTGCATCTCCGGCGGCACCTCCATCACCTCCAACGTGGGGTTGTCATGGTAACCACTCTCCACCGTCTGCAGCTCCTCTGTCAGGTGTTGCTGTTGAGAAAAGATACAGTGCATTCGGAAAGTATTCAGACCCGTTGACCTTTTCCACATTTTGTTATGTTAGACTTATTCTAAAATGATTTTTTTTTTAAATACCCCATAATGACAAAGCGAAAACAGGATTTTAGACATTTTTGCAAATGTATTAAAAATAAAAAAGATACCTTATTTACATAAGTATTCAGACCCTTTGAAATGAGACTCGAAATTGAGCTCTGGTGCATCCTGTTTCCATTGATCATCCTTGAGATATTTCTACAACTTGATTGGAGTCCACCTGGGGTAAATTCAATTCATTGGACATGAAAGGCACACACCTGTCTATATAAGGTCCCACAGTTGACAGTGCATGTCAGAGCAAAAACCAAGCCATGAGGTCGAAGGAATTGTCCGTAGAGCTCCGAGACAGGATTGTGTTGAGGCACAGATCTGGGGAAGGGTACCAAAAAATGTCTGCAGCATTGAAGGTCCCCAAGAACACAGTGACCCCCATCATTCTTAAATGGAAGAAGTTTGGAACCACCAAGAGTCTTCCTAGAGCTGGCTGCCCGGCCAAACTGAGTAATCGGGGGAGAAGGGCCTTGGTCAGGGAGGTGACCAAGAACCCGATGGTCACACTTAGAGCTCCAGAGTTCCTCTGTGGAGATGGGAGAACCCTCCAGAAGGACAACCATCTCTGCAGCACTCCACCAATCAGGCCTTTATGGTAGAGTGGCCAGACGGAAGCCACTCCTCAGAAAAAGGCTCATGACAGCCCGCTTGGATTTGCCAAAGGGCACATAAAGGACTCAGACCATGAAAAACAATATTCTCTGGTCTGATGAAACCAAGCGTCAATGCCAAGCGTCATGTCTGGAGGAAACCTGGCACTATCCCTACGGTGAAGCATGGTGGAGGCAGCATCATGCTGTGGGTATGTTTTTCACCGGCAGGGAGACTTGTCAGGATCGAGGGAAAGATGAACGGAGCAAAGTACAGAGAGGTCCTTGATGAAAACCTGCTCCAGAGCGCTCAGGATCTCAGACTGGGGCGAAGGACAACGACCCTAAGCAAACAGCCAGGAGTGGCTTCGGGACAAGTCTCTGAATGTCCTTGAGTGGCCCAGCCAGAGCCGGGACTTGAACCCAATCAAACATCTCTGGAGAGACCTGAAAATAGCTGTGCAGCAACACTCCCCATCCAACCTGACAGAGCTTGAGAGGATATGCAGAGAAGAATGGGAGACACTCCCCAAATACAGGTGTGCCAAGCTTGTAGCGTCATACCTAAGAAGACTCAAGGCTGTAATCGCTGCCAAAGGTGCTTCAACAAAGTACTGAGTAAAGGGTCTGAATACTTATGTAAATGTGATATTTCAAAAAAAATATGTTTGTAAAAAAAACAATTTAATCCATTTTAGAATAAGGATGTAATGTAACAAAATGTAGGAAAAGTCGAGGGGTCTGAATACTTTCCGAATGCACTGTAAGGGGAGATTTCGTTGAGGACCCTCCGAAAGAATAGTTCAACTATGTTTAGTAAGTACATTAGGAAGAATGTGGACATGGCACAGACAGACATTATTGATTGTAGAGTAGTTTGATTTTCGGGTTTGATTTTCTAACTGTTTACTTGGTGGTTCTTCCGATAGGACTTGCGGTGGTATGAGGCGTAGATGGCGAAGCCTACAATCATGGCCAGCAGAGCTCCGCAGGACGCCAAGATGGCAATCAGGGTCATGTTGTCACTTGGTTTCTGACAGAACAGAGGAAGAGGTAAATAAAGATCGACTCTGTTGACAAGCCTCCCTCCAAATACAACCTTTTACATTTTCTCCATTAGCCAGCTTAGGATGACATTCAGGGAGATATGTAGTTCACAATGTTAATTAGACTTACTCTGGTGATTTCCTCGTAGTATTGCTGGACGACAGAGTTGTCCACTGAAAAAAATGTAAGTAAACTTTCATTTACAACAGTTCACTTCTGGTACTTGACCTTGACAGCAATTGGCTCAAACCCTCTCAAATAGTCTGTCTTTAAAAACACAACTCTTACAACCAAGACTAGCATTAGGAAATTGGGTGCGTTAGGTGTGATCGATTGAATTACCTTGGAAGCATCTGAATGGTGGGTACTGGGTAGTGTACATACCTTTGCCGGTCATTACTACGCTGTCAACGGTAGTGTGTCCGTTGTTCTCCCTCACATTCAGAGTACAGTTAGCATCGTGCATCTGAGACATCAGCTGTCGACATAGCGTCTCCAGGTCCTTCCTCTCATGATTCTGATCAGAGAAAACAAACACGTTTTTAAGACTCCATCAAGCCTTTCATTAGTTTTCAACTTTTTCTAGTCGGTTGCAACAAATGTTTTCCATAGTTTATGAACAGGACAAAAAACAATCAACATGCCTTGTTTAGTGAATCTCAATCTATCTAACGAGAGTGGCAATTGCTGAACTGATGTCATTTCACCATGACATCATTACAGCAATCACTACAATGCTGGTTGTGGTGAGTTGAGGGAAAGGTCAAAGGAGGGACGTCAGCGTTTCCGGTGCAGTGAGGTGTCAGTTATTCTTGGCCTTTCTGAAGCAGAGCAGCTGTTCATAGTCAGAAAGCGAGGGGAGAATGAGAGTGAGGGAGAACGCGAGAGAGGTGTGGGAAAGCAGGTTTCCCACTAAGAGACTTTTTCTACCCAATGCTTGCAGAATCCTTTTTTATACCATGATGCACTACTTCCACTACTTCCTGTCCTGGCTTTGGAAACAGAGAAGAGTGTCGCTCTGTGTTGAGAATAGACCGGTTGGTTGTTTAGAAACAAAACCGACGCATTCGCAACTATGTGGCAAAACAGACGGGGTTATCTTAGATTGTTGACAACATGTCAACTATATTTAGTCTCCAATGTTTATTGAAAACATAAATATATTTGCCCAATGAGCACTTGTTGTCTCTCAAATATATTGTTAGTTGTTGGTTAAATTATATCAGTCAAAACACCTCAAAACAGAGACATGGTATCAATAACAAGATACGAGCTCAAATGAGCCACCTCCGATTCCCCACATGGCAGCTTCTTGTCATTGTTACTAGTCACCTGGCCATCCAGAACCACAACAACACACAGATTTCTGCCCCATTGAAGCGTGCACATTGTTTTCGCGACGTTGTCAGCTAACCCATCTATAGGACCAGGGGAAGGGTAGAGGTCTGAGCAGTCTTTCACCGTCCTGGTCTTTGTGACCCGCTCTGTAAGATGGATCTAACTGCAGCTGAGGATTTGTCATTACATTTGTCATTTGACATCGAATGTAAATGCAGACCTAAACTTGTAATCAAATCTAGGAGGACAGTAGAAAGGAGAAATCCTTACCTCTTCATTTATTTTGGACATGCTAAACTGTAAAAAGCAGGAACAAACACAAAGTTAAGGTCATATTTGTGTGCGTTATGATTCAGAAGATTGTTTTGAATCAGGCTGACAAGTCTTTTTATGGAAAACTCTTTCTGTCATACAGTAAAGCTCCTGGGAGGAGTTGTGGTCGTCGTCGTTGTTGTTGTTGTAGTCTCAGCCGTGGTTGTAGACACCATCCCTCCCTGTGTGCTGGTCGTGGCGGTAGCAAAACTGCTTCCTGAACCCACAGGGCTGGATATGTTGGGGGGATGGGAGGGAGAGGACCCTGACCATGGGGTTCAAGAAGCATAAATGAGAGAATGGACAATTTTGTCAGTTGAATTTTCTCTCAATTTCATCATGTAATCACACATGACCACATATGAACATGTATGAGTTGCATGTGATAATAACTGTCCAGCTTTTAGGGTTTTGAGTCTAATTTCTTTGAGACTACAGCCAAACTCTATGCTGGGTGAGTGATAGGTGTTTTGAGGTGAAATGGTGGTGGAGGTAGAGACCCTCACCTGCAGTGGAGTCCGGGGGGGTCTGAGTGGGGGTTCCTGAGGAGCCGGAGGCCCCCGTTCCAGCAGCAGCCATAGGGGTGCTCCCCCCGGCAGTCGTGGTTGTGGGTTTTTTAGGGTCTGTTATGGTTGGCTGATGTGGCCCCACTGGCTGAACTGGGGTTGGGGTTGGTTACTGCACGGTTGGCTGTGGTTGTGGGGTCATTCTGGTGTGTCATGGTGACCTTGGTGGCTGATGGGGGGGTGGCTGCGACGCTGGCTGTCGTGGTTGTGGGGTCATTCAGGTTTGTCATGGTGACCTTGGTGGCTGATGGGGGGGTGGCTGCGACGCTGGCTGTCGTGGTTGTGGGGTCATTCGGGTTTGTCATGGTGACCTTGGTGGCTGATGGGGGGGTGGCTGCGACGCTGGCTGTCGTGGTTGTGGGGTCATTCAGGTTTGTCATGGTGACCTTGGTGGCTGATGGGGGGGTGGCTGCGACGCTGGCTGTCGTGGTTGTGGGGTCATTCAGGTTTGTCATGGTGACCTTGGTGGCTGATGGGGGGGTGGCTGCGACGCTGGCTGTCGTGGTTGTGGGGTCATTCAGGTTTGTCATGGTGACCTTGGTGGCTGATGGGGGGGTGGCTGCGACGCTGGCTGTCGTGGTTGTGGGGTCATTAGGGTCTGCCGTGGTGACCTTGTGAGTTGGTTTGGGGAGGGCTGTGGTGCCGGCTGTTGTGATTGTGGTGATTGGGGAGGTGGTCGTCATGGTTAATGAAGGGGGTTGTATTGTTGGATCAGCATGAGTACAGTGAAGTAGAAGACCTGGAGTGAACAAACACAAAACAGTATTAACTGTTTAATCTAAAACAAATATTACATAGGCCTAACTAAATAAAATATACTTGGCTCAACTTAAATGGAAATAATGCAGTCTCTAGAACTTGGTCCATCATCCCTGTGGGTTGCACTCAGTTTTATAAATAGCTTGTATTTCCAAGAATATCAGCGATGAGATATTGAGGAGCCTCTGTGGTGAACTCTGTGTAAACCTGCTGTGTTTTATTTCCTTCTCTCCAGACAGCTTTACAGTAGTAGTGGTTTGATCTCGCTATGTTTCTCTATTTATAGTGAACAGGACAGGATGCTCCACACAATAACCTAGGAAGTACCACACCCAACCTATGGGCTTGCCCCAGCGCACCATGAACAATCCTGGACCACGTTCTAAGGCTGGGACCCTAGGGATTTAGAACAATGGCTTCTATAGGATCCCCCTCCCTCGAACCACACACACACGTACCGCCATAGCATTAGGACTACTACTTGCTTACTCATGCTCAGTCACGCACATACGTGGGTGCACAGTCACACAGTAAACACACTCATACCTCTCTTATCTCACATGTTCATATATAAGGATGTGTACCTACATTACCAACACACTGTACTGTAAATAGCATACATTTCAAAGGCTACATATGCTGTCAATTCATATAGGGCTGCATAATTAATCGAATTCACATCGAAATCCCAATATTGTCGTGCAATATCCATGTTGCTGAGATTCATATCACTTGCAATATTTTGAAACACCGTTCAGCCGTGTATAACATCCGTTTTTATAGTTTATTTGTGGCTGCTTCCCACACAGACAAGCCCCGCCCAATCAAGCATCGCAGTTCCTTCTCCTCTTTAGAATCACTATAAGTTTGCATGCTGTTCTGTTAGGCCAAATGCAGTCAACAGATTGTTCCAAACAAGAACGATGCCACTTTGCTTTTTAATATAAATCATTCTATTTCTAGGATTCCAACAGTTCACCCAAGCGTTTTGATCTACAGGTAACTGACTAAATAAAGTAAACACTTGAGTAAATGACAGATACAAAGTATATTTAAAGCAGGTGCTTCTACACAGGTGTGGTTCCTGAGTTAATTAAGCAATTAACATCCCATCATAAGAGATGAAGCGAGAGGTTTTACTACACCCGAAATCTGTCCACGTATGGAGGTCAATGAGAGCGTGTCGAATTTGGTCAACAAGAAATGGAATTGCTAATGTGCTACCTGAGGCTTATTTGATCGAAGAGAAGTTTCGTAATGGTTAGGTTGTTATGAATGCACTGATATAAGTGGACGCATGTGGCTTTCGGCAACTGACCCAAAAACGGCTATATCGGAGTTGTGCCTGTTGTCGTAGAGATACAGTGCATTCGGAAAGTATTCAGACCCTTCCCTTTTTCCACATTTTGTTACGTTACAGCACTATTCTAAAATTGATTAAATTATTTTTTTCCCCTCATCAATCTACACACAATACCCCATAATGACAAAGCGAAAAACGGTTTTTAGACATTTTTGCAAATGTATTACAAATAAAAAATATCACATTTACATAAGTATTCAGACCCTTTGCTATAAGAATCGAAATTGAGCTCAGGTGTGTCCTGTTTCCATTGATCATCCTTGAGATGTTTCTACAACTTGATTAGAGTCCACCTGTGGTAAATTCAATTGATTGAACATGATTTGGAAAGGCACACACCTGTCTATATAAGGTCCCACAGTTGACAGTGCATGTCAGAGCAAAAACCAAGCCATGAGGTCGAAGGAATTGTCCGTAGCGCTCCGGGACAGGATTGTGTCGAGGCACAGATCTGGGGAAGGGTACAAACATTTTTTTGGAACCACCAAGACTCTTCCTAGAGCTGGACGCCCGGCCAAACTGAGCAATCGGGGGAGAAGGGCCTTGGTAAGGGAGGTGACCAAGCACCTGATGTTCACTGAAAGAGCTCCAGAGTTTCTCTGTGGAGATGGGAGAACCTTCCAGAAGGACAACCATCTCTGCAGCACTCCACCAATCAGGCCAGACGGAAGCCACTCCTCATTAAATGGCACATGGCAGCCCCCTAAAGGACTCTCAGACCATGAGAAACACAATTTGCTGGTCTGATGAAACCATGATTGAACTCTTTGGCCTGAATGCCAAGTGTCACTTCTGGAGGAAACCTGGCACCATCCCTACGGTGAAGCATGGTGGCAGCTGCATGCTGTGGGGATGTTTTTCAGCGGCAGGGACTTGGAGACTAGTCAGGGTTGAGGGAAAGATGAACGGACCAAAGTACAGAGAGATCTTTGATGAAAATCTGCTCCAGAGCCCTCAGGACCTCAGACTGGGGCGATGGTTCACCTTCCAACAGGACAACGACCCTAAGCACATAGCCAAGACAACGCAGGATTGGCTTCGGGACAAGTCTCTAAATGTCCTTGAGTGGTCCAGCCAAAGCCTGGACTTGAACCCGATCGAACATCTCTGGAGAGACCTGAAAATAGCTGTGCAGCGACGCTCCCCATCCAACCTGACAGAGCTTGAGAGGATCTGCAGAGAAGAATGGGAGAAACTCCCCAAATACAGGTGTGCCACGCTTGTAGCGTCATACCCAAGAAGACTCAAGGCTGTAATTGCTGCCAAAGGTGCTTCAACAAAGTACTGAGTAAAGGGTCTGAATACTTATGTAAATGTGATATATCCAGGTTTTTTTTTAAATATACATTTCTAAAAATTTCTAAAAACCTGTCTTTGCTTTGTCATTATGGGGTATTGTGTGTAGATTGATGAGGGAACAAAACAATGTAATCCATTTTAGAATAAGGCTGTAATGTAACAAAATGTGGAAAGGGGTCTGAACACTTTCCAAATGCTCTGTAGATGGAGGACTCCTCATGGATATAACCTGTATTAGCATGGACATTGCCATTGAGGGCTTCCACCATTTTAAAGTAGTCAACTGGATGGGGATTCCTATGAGTTGGGAGCAATCAGCCAATGAAGAAGTTGACTACTTTAAAATGGAGATAGCCTCAATGGCGCTGCCCATGCTGTCACAGATACAAAGATTAGTCCTCTATCTATCTCTATGGCCTGTTTTTCACATGCGTATCTGCCCTCTCATTGGCTAGAATGGTCCCACCTGATCTCACCTCCTCCTGCCTGCCTTTTATCTTTGGGAACATGTATTTCCATTGTTAGAGCGGTCACTCGAATATCTTGTCAATATAATACAGTCTTTGGGGGAATGTATAAAAATGCCCAGTTGCCCATTATTTTGGCTACCATGGTTAGAAGAAGAGATCTGTGACTTTGAAAGAGGGGTCTCAAAGGAGCATAGGGGGTTTAAAGGATGTGTGTGTCTCTCAATCACCAGATCTCAACCCAATTAAACACTTATGGGAGATTCTGGAGCGGCGCCTGAGAGTGTGTTCCACCACCATCAACAAAACACCAAATTATGACATTTCTTGTGGAAGAATGGTGTTGCATCCCTCCAATAGAGTTCCAGACACTTGTAGAATATATACCAAGGCGCATTGAAGCTGTTCTGACTCGTGGTGGCCCAACACCTTATTAAGACACTTTATTTTTGTGTTTCCTTTATTTTGGCAGTTACCTGTATATTGCAAGTCAAACCGCAATATTTGGTTTTATAAAATGACTATTCGATTTTTGGGCCGATATCGTGCAGCTCTAAATTCATATACACAGGAAGACATTGTTTTTTAAACAGTGCTCAATAATAGGATACTCCTCCCAAAGTTACATGCACAAACACAAGCCTACAGTACATGTAGTGGACATACTATACGTGCACACCCACACTTTGACCATACACAAACTCTCACCTCCCACTCCACATGTGCACTGTAGAATAAAGAGATGTGGGGGCTCTATTCAAATCTATTCAATCAAACCTCATAACAAGGTTTCTATACTGCTTGAATCACCCTTACAACATTCCAACTGGATTGTCAATCTCCATATCAATACATCTTTTCACACTAATAATCATTGTATTATATGTGTGTTATTGAGTAGAGCCCCCTTCTGATTGGCCAGCCTGTTAAAAAGATGCTCACCCAGGATGTAAAGATGTATCTCCAGACATGTGGGTTGTCATGTGATTAATAGGGGTTGTCGGGGGCAACGAGGACATTGTCAGACCATGTCAGGAGTGTCTGATAAGAGGTTGTTTTAGAGAGGTTGTGGAGGATGGGGAGAGGTAAAACCTTGTTGTCTCCATCTCTTCTCTTTGACAGGCA